TACTCTTCGCCATGTCCATCTCAGTCTGACTTAGAGGCTCCACTTTGTTAAAAGCGAAGCGGTTCCCCAAAGACCACTCTGAACTCACAGGGCGCCCACTCTCAAAGAAGGGCACTTCACGTGGTTTGACGAAGAAATACGAGTCAAACCACGAACGCCCAATCTTCCGGCAGCTACTGATGAACCCGTACCCTAATGCTTTACGCCTTTGTAAGATCAGGCAGTTGTCACTTTTTTTCATTTTGAAGAAATGTTTAAAAAGTTTAAAGGTGGGGGGCACGTGATGTCTCCGACACTGATAGCGAAAAACAATGGTAGTCAGAATAACGGAGGGAGAAAGGCGTGCGAGGGGACACGCGCAGGCAACCATGACGCCCTCAATGACAGGCTCGATGGGGAAGCGTAGGCCAAACCGGATGAACTCTTGGTACAAACCCACCCACCCCTCGCCGCACAACCCAATCCGAGCCTCGGGGGGCGCGTGGATGTACCTCTAGGGCGCAGGTAATTGGGCGCACACGACCAGTTTTTCTAGGCGCGCCCCTAATTGTTTCGAGGCGTGGTGCGGGCCGACATCCTCTAGGGGCAACATTGAAGTATTTTGAGGCGCATAGCCAGGAGGCCACATCGAGTCCCATGGTCGAAACATGTAGTCTTGGGACACGGAAGCGCCTGAGTTAAAGGAAGGGGCAAGGGGTAAGGCAACGGAGGGCGAAGACGACGCGGCGCTTAAAAACAAAAAAAAAAGGGCAGTGAAAACGAAGTGCGTAGGGGCGCTTGAACCCTATGATAAACGTTGAGAGAAGTGTTGAAGGGGACGGGAGAAAACGGTTCAACGACAAAAGGTAAGGCGCATAGCGATAGACTTACTCGATGCAGCAGGGGCGGCAGGGGCGTTTGAGGCCTCGCCATCGGCAGGCGCCTGGGATCTGGAAGGCGCAGAGGAGGTGGGAGGCGCCCCTGTGGTAGGTGGAGTGGACCCGCGGTGGGCGGAGGCCGTCTCGGCGGAAGGCGCGGGAGTGCTGAGCGGTATTTGCCGGGAGGACGCCATAGCAAACGAGAGCGTGTGTGGAAGAGCAAGTCGGGGGCAATTGAGAGAGTTTGTAGCTAGAGAGAGGAAGTAGAGAGATGAAGTTTGCAAGTTGTGAGGACTGTTAAGGGGGGTGGAAGGGAATTTATAGGCAGAACTGGGCGAGCGAAGGAGAGAGAGAAAGGGGAGGCGAAGAGACTTCCCCAATCCGCTCTTGATTTTGAAATTTGAATTTCGAATCGCGAGCGGATCGGGGGGAGGGAAGAGAGAGGAATCGCAAGGGGCACTAGGGCACAGAAAAAGAGGCGGAAAGGGGAGAAAAGCATGGATAAATAAAAAAATGAAAAAAAAGAAAAAAAAGAGTAAGTAAAAGAACACGTAATTACGCTTGTACAGGCGAGTGGGGGAGAAGAGCATGGATAAGAAAAGAGAAATACAAGGAAGAAGCAGAGAGCAAATCGTACGAAGAAAGAACGCATAGCGAAGAAGGAAGCGCGCGAACCTCAAGAGAGGCGAGGCGCATGAACCTCAAGAGAGCCATTGGGAGCGGACGCAGGTCCAAGGGGGCGCGCAGAGAAAACACAGTCAGGCCCCTAACTTTGGGCGTTAGGCGCCTAACTGGGGGGCAATTGTTGGGGGAATGAGCATGGGCCGGCCCAGAAGGGAAAAGCCCAAAACAGGTTATTATGGATCGAGGCGCGGGCCCAACCAAGAGGGCTGAGAAAGCCCATGAGGGCAGGAACCTTGGGCTGAAGAGCGACCGGGCTTAGGCCTGGGTGGCTGAGATAGTGTGTGGGACAGGTGGGACCGGGCACCTGGCGGAGGGCATATGAGACAAAGGCAGCTAACGGTCGGAAGTGTACGAAAAGCTGATCAGATGATGCCATGCGCCTCCAACCTCTGACCGAAGTGTCAGATGGTTGAGGCGCATGGGCTAGGGGTGTACGGCGCATTTATGGCGGGTCTGACACAGGGCGAGAGCGACGTGTACCGGTCGGTCTCGCCCCGGGTATAAATAGTCGAGTAGGTAAACCTCATTTACTCAGTTTTGCTTCTCTTACTAGAACTGTTCCTTTACTTCTCTCTCTAAAAAGTAGGTTCTCACTTGAGCGTCGGAGTGCTAACGGACCAATTCGGTCCGCTAGGCGCTTGTGTGGGTGCAGGAAGACGGCTGTGCAAGTGGACGAGGGAGACAGGAGCCCGAGGCGTAAGGAGGGGGTTGCGGGGCTTAATCATAAACAATCAGACATACCAAAACATTGTATTCTACAATGCATCAAATTCGACAATAAATGTATAATATTATACATGTATTCGCAACAATACATCCATTTAACAATCACAACTTTCAAACAACCCCTAAAACTATTTATTTGATATGTGTAGGTACCTAGCCAAACATATAATTGTTGAAAATCTAGCCCGGGTAAAAAAAAAACTCTATAGAGAAGCAAAATGAATACAAACGGGAACTCGGTTAAAATTTCACGCCTTTAAATCTCATAGTGGAAAATGATGACTTTCTAATAAGTAATAATCATATATCTTTATTTTTAATTGGACTCGACATTGAGCTGAAAAAGTTAATGGTTCATGGCTCAATTATTAATTCTCTAGAGTGTTGGTGAGTCGTGTATGGACCCGTTCATACTTGTGATTAGAATACATAAAAATATTATACTAATTAGGGTTAGACAAAGAAGGTAAAGAAAGAAATAAAGGGTTATGGAAGGCGAGTAAAAAATGAAATGAATAGGAAGTAGATGATGGAATGGTTGGATCATTTTTATACTTATATTAACTTTTAACTTATTATTTTTATTACTATTGATTTTTTTAAACATTTTTCTATTAAAATGTCATACAAATACTTTGTACAGATCAATATCTTAATGTACTCGTATTATATTTTACTAAATATATTATCACATCACCGAATAGAATGTTCTTTTAAAAAATGATAATTATTATTTCAAATGGATGTCATACATGCTTTTTTAAAGTAAATATCTCATCAAAAACCAAAATGGTCGAATCTTCTTCTACAGTTAAGTGATACAACATCTTGTATGGTACAAACAAAATTTATACTTTTATATTATGGTGGATTGGATTCATGGATTGGTGGATTGGATTTATGGATTCAAGTGAAATCAAACATTGGACCAACATGTAAATTTTAAAAAATGCAGGTACGAAAATCTCATAAAGTTTAGATACTAAAACATAATTGTTCAATGATTTTACATTAAATTAAATTTGAGGTATCAAAATGTAAAATATACATCGGACCAATATGTAAATTTTAAAAATTGCAGGTACGAAAATCTCAAAAAATTTAGATACTAAAACATAATTGTTCAATGATTTTACATTAAAATTAAATTTGAGATATCAAAATGTAAATATACATTATAGTGATTAAGTTGTAATTTCATTAAATTTGGATTATCAAAATATACTTTTTTGGCAACAGTAACCTTACTTCACGTTTATATATATACTAAGTGACGATGCCGCACCTTGTCGCGGGACGGAGATGGTCTACGGGCATGTATTATGTGACCCGTTATGGTATTTTGTTAGTATTATTAGTCTAAAATTAATTTTTTACTAGCACTTTTGTTAATAATATTGACTGAAAAGAGATATATGGCAGTCAACTTCCAATTTAAAAAATATTGAAAATTTGGCTAATAAATGATATTTACCTAAACCCAAGTAGACCTATTGATTATGACTAGGGTATGGGTGACGTATATATGGGTTTGGATGTTTGTAGATGAGTTTGGGTAGTCTATGGATATTTACTTTCATAATCTAAATGTGTATGAGTTAGGTATTGATACCCATTTATTCGAGGGTGTTTCAATTACACATACAAAAATTAGACCTATTTGTAGAACTTCAAAAGTTTAGTTACTAAAATGTAATACACAAAAATTTTAGGTACTAAAATGTAATCTTCCATCAATATTATGAGACTTATATGCCAAAAATTAAATTTAGGGTATAAATCTACAGATCTATTAAGTTTAAGTATCCAACTGCAATTTGCATTTGAGGCTTAACTCCTTTTATGGTGATGTATTTAAGATGATAAATATTTATTTTCTTATAGAAAATAGGAAACTATTTATTTGATGTGTATAATTGTTGAAAATTCTAGGTCGGGTGAAAAAGAAAAACTCTAGATAGAAGCAGAAGTATTACAAACTGGAACTCGCTTAAAATTTCACGCCTTCAAATCTCATAGTGAAAAATAACGACTTTCTAATAAGTAATAACCATCTATATTTATTTTTAATTGGACTCGGCATTGAGCTAAAAAAATAATGGTTCATGGTTCAATTATTAATTCTCTAGACTGTTGGTCAGTCGTGTATGGACCCGTTCAAACTTGTGATTATAATACATAAAAATTGTATACTAATTAGGGTTAGACGAAGAAGGCAAAGAAAGAGATAAAGAAAGGGTTATGGAAGGCGAGTGAAAAATGAAACGAAGAGGAAGTAGATGATGGAAAGATTTTGACCAATTCTTTTAGTTGACCGTCAATACAACAATCAACCCTTTTCATTATAGCAATTTATTGACACTTGCTTATGTAGATATCGCATATTTTGTTACATGTAGTTAGTATACGTTTGTTTAGTACCCCGTAAATGTACTAAATGAATTAATAAATTCTCTCTTGCAATATTTTAGAGTCATTTCACTTTTATCATTTATTTAATATTTCACGTAATGATCAAATATAAATTGGTCGAATCTTCTCCTACAGTTGAGTGATACAACATCTTGTATGGTACATACTAAATTTATACTTTTATGTTATGGTGGATTGGATTCATGGATTGGTTCAAAAGGATTGGTGGATTGGATTCATGGATTCAAGTGAAATCTAAATATTGGACCGATATGTAAATTTAAAAAACTATAAATATGAAAATCTCATAAATTTAGATACCAAAACATAATTGTTCAATCGTTTTACATTAAAATTAAATTTGGGGTATTATAATATAAAAGGTATATTATAATGATTAAGTTGTAATTTAATTAAATTTGGAGTATCAAAATGTAATAATTTCGGCAACAGTAACCTTACTTCACTTTTATATATATTAATGTGCGCCCTAGATTATGTCCTCGTGAGTGGCTAGCTCGTTAGTTGTGTAGGTTGGCGAACCATAGAGGTTCCTTACACCATGTAATAGTCAAATATATATGGTTCGGGCTAGCGTACGCATTTCAAATTTTAATTTTTAGACCATGAATTAATCGGAGTTTGGGGCATGATACTATACCCTAACCTCTAATAGTTGAACCCAGTCTTCATTTCTCTAACCCAAACCATAAGATTCATTTAATAGTGTACGCCTACCTTTTCCACATACACACATAGTGTACACCTGACGTACACTATACCCCTACGTTCGCACCTATTATTTGTGCTTGGATAATTCCGACGAATTATAATTGTTTGTTTTTATTTTGAGATTAAATGAATCTTATGATTCGGGTTAGAGAATTGGGGACTGGGGTTCACCCATTAGAGGTTATAGTATAGTATCATGCCCCAAACTCTGGCTAATTCAATTCTATATAACAAAAATAGACGGGCGTACAGTAAGGTAAGCATACGCTAGCCTACACTCATATATATAGGTGGTTCTATCGTACCTTGGTAAAATAAATGGTATGACACACCATGTGTAAGAAAATGATATCTAGACCTTGAAATGACCGAAATTTGGCATTTGGTACTATTCCCAAACGCTTAAAGATTAAAATCTAAAGTCTTAATTCTATAATTCTCATACACTAAGATCAATTTAATTAGAAACAAAAATTGACGGTTATAATTCGTCGAAATATATGCAACAAATTACATGCACAATCTTAGGGGTTATCCTTTATGATTTAGATAACTAAGACCTAGGGTTCACTAATCAAGGGTTATGGTATCATGCCCAAAATTCCGGTTAATTCGTGGTCTAGATAGCGTTTTCTTACTCAAGGTATGTCGTACTCCACATTTTACCCAGGGTATAATAATAGAAGCCAATATATATGGATCAGACTGGTGTACTTCTGGAGTATATTATACTCCATGCACTTCTAGTGAGATACCATTATCTAGATCATGAATTAAATCGAGTTTGGGTAATTTACTATACCCTAACCTCTAATAGATAAACCCCAGACTCGACTCTCTAAACCCGAACCCGAAGTTCAATTTAATTGCAAATAAAAATTGACCGTTTAGATTGATCGGGGTTCAAAAAAGTACATCTAATGGTTAGATCACCTGAAGTATACTATACTTCTTGAATATACGAGTCATTACCATATAACGGTAAAAAAAAATCATATTGTAAAATTTCCTTAACATTATGATTTTTTTTATATTTAAAGTATGCGTGTGGTTCATATGAACAGTAGTTCCAATTTTGCAACTTAAAAAAAATGGTGTAATAAATAAAAAATTATAATCGGTAGCCTAAAATATTTTCCATAGCTTTAGCTTTTGTATAAATTGGGGAAAACAAACACACCCAATACAACACCAAGAACCAGAAAACGGGAATCTGGATGTAATTAGTCACACTTGCAACTTGAAAGCACACTTCCACAGTCGACAATTACCCCAAAAGGGGACAAACCCAACGCGCCAAATAAAGGCTAAAGCCGAAGATAAGTTATTGCTGTGGCATGCCAGTTGCGGCTAACATTTCCATCGACAGAAACAATACAAAGACAATGTAAAACCGCACGGCTTCCAAAAATTCAGACACCAGCTAGCTACCCGTCCATGGGGTAATGGGAATGAGTAAAGCCACAGATTTAGTCTCATGGATTGAAGTGTTCGTACTTGGTAGTCGCTAATTTTGTATCATTATCGTAGTGGTTACTCAAAGGACTATTGTATTTGTCAAACGGGTGGTTTTGATGTGACATTTTGATTTTTTAGTATTTTGAATCGAAATGTTGCGTTATTTTACAATGTGGAATTTCATATGAGACTTTAGTTTATGGTGTGGTAATTATTGGATACTAATTATTTTATTTGGATTGACCATTCCGAAATTTTCTTATTGTGTTATTTCATCACTAAAAATGTTATAACACTTTTTTGCCCCCATCGGATTTCAATACATTTGCACACAAAAAAAGCAGATTTATTGTGCTCTACAAGATGATATCAATTATAACATTTAGAGCAAAAAAAATTCAGGTCATCGTACTACAATCATATCACAATATTACCACTGACAATGATATGATGTTGATATGATATTGATATTGATATGATAGTAATATGATGTTGGTAGGAGTTCTTATGTTTGACAAAATAATTTGATAACATCATATCATTGTCATATCATGATATTATTACTATATAATTTCATTATATGACATTGATATGAGGTCTTATAATGGCCAGAATAATGGGCCAAAAAAGCCAAATTTCCTGGCCAAATACCCAACACAAGAAGACAAAGAAAGCCAAATTCTGGCCAGAATAATGGGCCCCTCTTTCTCCATGAATCAGACCCGCACAAGCGGAAATGTGGCCAGAATAATGGGCCCCCTTCATTTCCCTACCGTGAAAAATAGGAGAGTTTTTCTATAAAAAAAAGGAGAGTTTCAAGACAAATCAGATAATTAAAATAATAATTGTGAAATATGCACTCAAATAGAAGGTGTGCAACAAACTCCTTAAAATATAGTTTAAGAAAATAGAACTCAAATACGTGTTAAAACGCATGCGGTAAAATCATTGCACAAATTATTGTGCTTTAATTATTAATGACATCATATTTAATGATAAATTATTTAATGAAAAAAAAATAATATCAAAACGTTCATCTTAATTAATTATTACTATATGTATATAAAGAATTTACAAACTATCTTATTAAAAATGATGAAATCTACACTAAACTACATTATCACAAAAAGAGAATATTTGACATTTTGGCATTTTAGCATTCCTTGTTGGAGAAAAACAACTTTAAAGATGCCAAAATGCCAAATCCATTGGCATTCTAGCATTTTTTATATTCTTTGTTGGAGATGGTCTTATCACTATATAATAATAATAATTTAATAATATGACAGTGATATGATGTTGATATGAGATCTTATGATTCATAAAACATAACAAAATGAATCACGGTCTAAATCTTAATGAATGTGTTCTTTCTATAAAAAAGTAATTTTTTTAGTGAAATGCCTCTTGGTGCAAGCTGCATCATTAGTAAATAGCACACATTTTTGACAAATTAAGATCATAGAGCATACGAGATTATAAAAAGAAATAGACTTATGGAGGACAATTACCCACCTATGGGTAAATATACCCCAACTCAAGTAGACCCATTAAATTAATGGGTTGATTATGAGTGAAGTGTATATGGGTTTGAGGGTTTGTAGATGAGTTTGGACAAGGTATGGATATTGCTTCCATATTCTAAATGGGTATGAGTTGGGCATGAATACTCATTTACTTGAGGGTGTTTTAACTACACATCTAAAAATTGGACTTATTTGTAAAACTTAAAAAGTTTAGGTACCAAAATATAAGACAAAAAAATTTAGGTATCAAAATATAAATTTAGGTACTAAATCAGTAGATCCGTTGAGTTTAGATATCAAATTGTAATTTGAATTTGGGCAATAAGTACAACCTCAAATCCATATATATTACAAATTCAAACCAACCCAAATAAATAAATATGGGTATAAACCCATCCAATTCTACTCATTTATCATTTATTCGGGTTTCGTGTCCAACTCAATAAGGTTGGATAATAAAATACACGTGATAATAGGCAAAATTGCATGTTGATTTGTTAACTTGCTTGGAAAAAAAGGAACAATACGCCATTTTCTTCACGCAAGTTATAACAAGAAAGAAGCATCATCCCGGTGCACACTAAAAATCAAAGGAAAACAATTTATTCATAATCTTACCATGACCTAGAAAAAACATGCTAGTCTAGTCACAATCTCCTTCCTCCGCATTTTCTTCATGGAAACTTCATCAATACAGTCATTTAATTCGGACAAGAAGGATTATAAAAATAAAATAAGATACGGAGAAGAAGGAATAAGCATTTCTTTAATTCCATTTCTTAATTTTGCACCTCAAGAATCCTCTGCATAAAACGCCTTCTTCTTTCTCCTCCTTCTCCACCGCCATTCTCAAGGATATATATCCATCCCTGCTTCTATCCCCCACCCTATCTCTTAAACAACCAATCAATCAGGAGAAGAGATGAAATCTCGGCGCCAGTTGCCGGACAGATCCAGCTGGGTCCTTGCCTTGGTAATGGCCGGCCTGGTCTTCGCCGGGGTCCTGATCGGAAGCTTAATCCGCTTCGCCGACAACTCCTTTATCTGCTCCCTTGCAAGCAAGAAGTTCCGCGCCGCAGCAGAGTACGCCTCCACGCCGGCCCAGCTCCAGGCAATCGTCCACTACGCCACCTCCCGGACCACGCCGCAGCAGAACATCGACGAGATCTCCGAGACCCTCGACGTCTTCCGCGGCCGCAATTTCGCCCCTGCCAATTTCCTCGTCTTCGGCCTCGGATTCGATTCCCTGATGTGGAGCGCTCTCAACCCTCAGGGGAAGACCATCTTCCTCGAAGAAGATCCCTCATGGGTGGAATCCGTGCTCAAGGACGCGCCCTTGCTCGACGCCCGCACCGTCCAGTACCGCACCCAGCTCAAGGAAGCCGACGAACTCCTCAATTCGTACAGGAAGGAGCCGATGTGTTCCCCGGCGAAGACCTATCTCGACGGCAACTACGCCTGCCCGCTGGCCCTGACCGGGCTGCCCGAAGAGGTGTATGCCACGGAGTGGGACCTGATCATGATCGACGCGCCGCGCGGGTATTTCCCCGAGGCGCCCGGGAGGATGGCAGCGATCTTCTCCGCGGCGGTGATGGCTAGGGCAAGGAAAGGATCCGGCGTGACGCACGTGTTTTTGCACGATGTGGATCGGAAGGTGGAGAAGACGTATGCGGAGGAGTTCCTGTGCCAGAAGTACCTGGTGAAAGGTGTCGGGCGGCTGTGGCATTTTGAGATTCCGCCGGCGGCGAATGTGACTGAACAGGACGAAAACTCTTGGTTTTGTTAGAAACAGGAAGGCTTACTCTGCTTTGCTTCAGGCACGACTCACAACATTACATTATCGGCGCTTCTCTTGCTTTTGACGCGTCTTTTTTCGACACTTGTATCCTTCCTTGCATTTTTTAGGATCTAAGAGCTGCGCATATTGAATATTGATTGGCAAAAAAGACTTTTTCATTGGCAGATTGCCACATTAAATTATTTCATTTACTTTATTTTTATAACCATACTGCATTTTACGTCTTTGTTACCTACCTGTCTTAGACTATGACTAGGACTAGTAAAAAGAAAAGAGGATAGGAAACGACCAGGAAAAATTCAAAAATACCACTGATAAAAAAAAATTACAAACATATAATCACAGAGAAGAAAGATTATAACTCAAGGTTGTCAAACCGGTTTATGCCGGTGTGCCGGTTTAACAAATGAAATGGTTCAACCGTGGTATAATCGGTATACATACCGGTTTATGCCGGTTTAAGAAAATATGTATAAAAAATAATAAAACATTCATAAAAAAAATATAAACCGTAATTTATTTCCCCAATCCGCCACCGCCTCAGCACTAGGCTCGCACAAGCACCACCCATCAACCCTTCCTCCTTTACCCTTTTACATAGAATGTCATGCCCAACCAAACCCTCCCAATTTCCATCTATTTTTGGCTACCCTCAACAGAGATTATCTACAAACAGATTGCAGAGGGAGGAAGATGCGGTGGCGTCGCCGGGAGGAAGATGCGCCAGGAGGAAGATGACATGGAATTGGTAGCTTCGCCGAAGGAAGATGCGGTGGCCGGTGGCGTCACCAGAGGAAGACGCGCCAGGAGGAAGTGGATCTTGGGAGCTTGCCTGCAAGAGGAAGACGCGCCGAAGAAAGACGTCACCAGAGGAAGACGCGCCGGGAGAAAGAGTTGCTCGAGCAAGACCTTGTGATGAGGCGAAAAAGACTAGGGATCGAGGATGGGTCTTGGGAGCTCGCTTGCAAAATCCCTAAGTGCAGCCTAATCCATTTCGACAGAACGACGACGGATTGCTTATCAGGCCGGCATTTTCTATTCCGGTTGAACCACCGGCATTCCGGGTTTTGACCGGGTTTGACCCGTATTGACCGGAATTGACCAGAGGTATATGCCGGTGGTATTCCAGTCGGTTTCATCATCGGCACCGGTTGAACCTGGTTCAACCGGCCGGCATATCACTGGCATGACAACCATATTCATAACCAATCACACTAAGTACATTTGTTGTATCTTTTTAAATTAAAAACATATAATCGCAGAGAAGAAAAAACCCTTCCGCCATTTCAAATTCTCTGCTCCAAGAGCGTTTGTAGGAAGGGTAGAATAGGGAGTGTCAATTGTTTTTCTTTTTTCTCTGTGGAACGGGCCAACTTACCATACACATACGGATTTAAACGGGTCCAAGAGTGTTAATTTTTTTCTTTAAGTCCTTTTATTTCTCCGTGGTGGTAAAATATATATGAAAAGGCAAAAACAATACTCATTTTTATTGCTAAAAAGAAAAAAATTTAACAATAAACTAATGCATGGATTCTAATGGGCTAACCGCTAATCATAAAATAAAAGAGTTGAATGGGCCTGACCTACACAGGATTTGCCCATCAAGTAAAACAAATGAACATCATGGGTTTGCCAATTCTAAAACAAGCTATATTCTCTTGCATAATATATATTATGCTATTACTTTATATCTTAGTGGCTAAAATATAATGTATTTTAAAGTTATTCAAAGGTTCAACCTCGACCAACCCAATTAGTCCAATTTTTATCATTTCAAATATATATGCTGTAATTATTTGATATCATAATGATTAAATTATAGTGTATATTATAGGGATCGTTTGGTATTTGTTAGTAAAAAAAAAAACTAAACAGAAAGATCTATTTGGTAATTTTTAGGGTTAATACAATATATTAGCCATAACTATTAAGTAGCGGATAATTATAGCCACAACTATCGAAATACAAATTATTAGCCATAATGGGTCAAGATTTGGCTAACAGCCCGTTACTGTTTTCAAATTTTTAATGTAGAAGGCCAAGTTAGCATCGTAAAAAATATGATATGATGACTGCCACGTGGGAGCCAGCTCAGTATCGTAAAAGTTTAGTCATCATTACTAACAGAAGTGTTAACGAAAACTTAAAGATTGGCTAATAATTTGTATTTCGATAGTTGTGGCTATAATTCCCCGCTGCTTCATAGTTATGGCTAATATATTGTATTTGCCCTAATTTTTAACATGAAAACGATACTAAACATTTTCAGTTTCCTTTCGAAATTCTATAGTTTTATTCCTGAATCAGTGATGTGCAAATGGCGAATTGCAGTCATCTCTTTTCTTTCATTATTTTTTATTTTCAAATAGAAAGTTTAAAAGTAAAGAATAATTAGAGTTTGGCATGGGTCGGTCAAACAGGCTGAATTTCAAGTTTTGGCCCATTTTGATCAAGTCTAATTTTTAATCATGTGATTCCCTGATACCCGATAAAAATATCAATCCAAACCAGTTTGGCAGGTGAGTCCATGTTTACCATAATTTTCTAGGGATACAGGAACGGTGGTTCCTATCCCAAATCGTGTTGTTCATTCTTGATTTCTTTAGATTTTTATCATGGCTTGGCAAAAAACCAGAAAGCACAATGATGACAAGATGAAAGTTTTATAAAGCAAATTAATCGGCCAACGGGCGGAGTAAAAGCTAGCAACGATTGTGAGATGCTCATTTCCCGAAAACCAGCGGGATAGGCGATTTTTTATTCGATTTTCTGGAATTTGGTTTGTATAAAACTTACTCCACCTCATCATATTACCAAAAACAATATTGTTTCACAAGGTAACAGGTACTTGATTTTGGTTCATAAGGCTGATTTTTGATTCGTTGCATCATTCATGTCTCTTTCCTTCTAAAATCACTATTTTTATAACGTGTTTTCCAAAAAAACTATACAATAATAAGCTATACACCCCATTACATTATCAAATTTCATACCTCACCTTCCTTCGGCCAAATGGCCAGGGCCCACGCTAGTTAGTGATAGTAATTAAAGTTTCTGAATTCTGCTAGGTAGATGTGAGACACAGGTATTTATTAGTAATAATTAATTAATATCTTTCCTTATTACATTTTTCCAAGTTTTGTGTTGAGTTTTTATTTCTTTTTTATTTTCGAGTTCTACGGGAAAATAAGCCAAAAAAGGGTAATTAGAATATTGCAATACCTTCTCTAGTTTTCCCCCAATGTTTTTTGACAAAAAAATATATTAAATACGGTTGACGTAATATGGTTATTATATATGTTAAAATGTTTTTTTTAGGAAGTCATTCAAATTGTATGCTGCAATTAGCTTTTTTGTGGTTGTTTGTGAATGGTTTATTATTATTTTTGGTTGATCAACAAGAGTTTGTTATAACTATACCCGGTACAGAGTGTCAAGAAACAACATAGTGTACATTTAATGTAGATGCAAAGTTTGGTGTGTAGTTAATTTATATCTTCTAGTGTGTCAATATGTTATGAGTTCACAACGTCGTAAAAAATAACAATGCGATTAGATGATTCAAGATATAATCGGTCATAATGGCAGTTCAAGGAGCGTACAATAAATAAAAAATCTAATAATATATTAAATGACATGTTTAGTAGAATAAATTATTGAAAAATATTGAAAAGGGTATTTAGTAGAATAAATTTAAAAGACAGGATTAAAAAATAAGAAAAAATATATCACAAATTAAAATATAGAATCGCTCTTATTATATTTTTTTAATTTCTAGATTTTAGAGAATTGAAATTTCCAAAGCTAAAATTCATGATTTCAAAATAAAATAAAAATCTTGACGATTTTATGAATTCACTAAATCGGTCGATCCAGGGTCCGGATAGTATAACAACACTCTTTTTGTTGTTATAATAACAATAGGATTCATTAAGGGTAAAAGGGTAAATTAACAATAAAAATAATAAATAAAAATTAATCCACACGCGTATGTTCTTCCACACGCGTATGTTGCTCTCAGATCCGGTGTAGAGTAGATCCCCCGACGCGGCGAGGGAGTAGACGTGTCCCTCCTGGCGGACGATGGATCCGATGAGGCTGTCCCCGCTGCCGGTGCCGTCGTTGGGGAAGAGCGCAGGGGAAGGGATAATCCAGGGGGATTTCATGTACGGAGACAACGGGTGGTGGCTGATGTTGACGTTCCAGGGGGAGAACAATTGGCCGCTGGCGTACGGCGAGCCGGTGGTGCGCGGAGAGGAAGAGGCGTGGTCGCTGCTGGGAGTTCCGCTGCTGTTGGAGTTCCGAGGCGTGCTGGTGACGCTGGAGGAATTCGTTGGGCTGCTGCTGATGTTCTTGTTGTTGTGATTGGTTTCGTCGTCGTTGTCGGAACGGAGGACGGTGGAGCTCAAGTCCCCCATACTCATATTCCTCTTCTTCCACAAAGCTATCCGGTTGGAGCTCGACGGCCTCCACCGCGCCGCCATGGATTTCGCCACCAGTGGCGGAGATATTAAACCTCTACTGTACAAGTATCACTTCCTCCGTGGGATTTACAAGCACCACTGCAATTAGACTCACTTTAATTTTCATTGCAAAACACCAATTAAGTTCATTTGTAATTGCAATTAGTGAGTACAAGTCAATTTATAATTTTCCTAATGCAGAGCACAAGTCACTAAAACCAACCAAAAACAGAATAAACAAAATCACAAATATTTCTAACACCAAAAACCCCCTAGTTCAAACCACAAACGCAATAAAACAACTAACAAAAAACATACCGGAAACCTCCTAATGCAAACCACAAATTCGCTAAAATATATAAAAAAAACCCCACAAAGCAAACCATAAATATTTTGCAAAGCACACCAGAAACCTCCTAATGCAAACCACAAACACGGTAAAGCAAACCAAAAACATCATAATGCAGACAACAAGTATATTAAAACAAACGAGAAACCTAGCAAATCAAACCACAAAATTTTCGAAAGCACACCAGAAATTTCTTAATGCAAACCAGAAACCTCCTAATGCATACCACAAATCTCCTAAAACAAACCACAAACCTCACAAACCAAACCACAACATTTACGAAAGCACACCAGAAACCTCCTAATGCAAACCACAAACACAATAAATCAAACCACAAAAAAGCAAACCATAAACGTCCTAATGCAGACCACAAATATATTAAAACAAACCAGAAACCCCTCAATGCAAACCACAAAATTTTTGAAAGCAAACCAGAAACCTCACAATGCAAACCACAAAGTTTTTGAAAGCAAACCAGAAACTTCTCAATGCAAACCACAAACACGATAAAGCAAACCACAAAAGGCATACAAAAATATGAGAAACCAAACCATAAATCTCACAATGCAGACCATAACATCCGGTGGTCGTTGGCCGTTGACCGGTCAACGAAGTTCGTTGACCGAACTCCGGTGACCGTCAGTGACCGGATTCCGGCGCCGATAAGCATATTCCAGTCCCGATGACTAGATTTCGATGCCGGTAAGCATATTCCGACGCCGGTAAGCATATTCCAGCGACGGTAAGCATATTCCGATGACAAAATAGCATATTCCTGCGACAAAAAGCATATTCCGGTGACCGGCGACCATTTTCCGGCGACCGGTGGCAGAATTCCGTCGACCAAATTTTTGGGCAGAAAATAAAAATATTTTTTTATTTTTTAAACAGATTTTTCATAATGACAATTATACCCCTGCTTTGATTTTACACTAGGTCAACTCATCTAATAAAAAGTCATCAGAATCCTAGCTTCCTATTGGTTGGAGGCTAGTGTTGTTACAATAACAACACAAGGGGTGTTGTTATAGTATCTAGTCCCGTCGATCCATGACTCAAATCCTTTTCTCCATACCAAGCCCTAAAGAGGTTCAATTAAATTAATGGAACGCCCGAGCCAATGTGAATGACACTCTTTACAACTTAAATGCCCATCTCCATTTACTATGACTCCATTTTCTTTGAGCTTCCAAAATGGAATGCACTATGCATATCTGTAGAAATAAAACTGTATTTGTAGGGTTAATTGCACCATCTACCACTTAACTTAACTATTTGTTGCACGTTAACCACCTAAGTAATTTACGTTGCAACTAAACCATTTATGTTACCTTCCTGTTGCAACTAAACCATTTCCATCCACTGAACTAACGGTAGGTGCCAAACGGTAATTTTCCATGCCACGCGGGCTGCCATGTCAGCTCATGCAGGGTGAGTCACATGTAGGCCACCATATATTTGGGCCCACAAAACCCAAACAATTCCTGCAATTAGCAATAGGTGCAGGTTTACAACAACTTTCAAAGTTTATTCCAGGAGTCAGGAGTTGAAACGTCGACGCCCTTCCCTGCACATAACAACAACAAAAACATCAAGCTCTTACTTGGTGAGACTATCGCCACAAGAAGGAAGAAAGATTGGCTCAAGCTGTTACGGTAAGTTATCTCTACCCTCTGCCGCAATACTCTGTTTGTTATCTTACGCAGGCTATCGCAATTGTAATTATATGGTTCTTCCTGTGGTTCGTTGCTTCTTATTGGTAGGGAATCAAAACGACAGGCGAAGCTTTCTTTGGCTATGTTCTTCTTCTTCTTCTTCTTCTTCTTCTTCTTCTTCGTTGTCGATTGATGGAGCAATAGGTGAGTGAATTCTGACCTCTCGGGTTGTTGCTCTGTTTTTCGACTATGTTTTTCATCTTCATTGTCGGCTGATGAATGAGTGAAAAATGCTGATTAAACCACTCCAAGCTCATGTTTTCTTGTTGTTTGAGTTTTAAAAATGCGTTCAAGCATTAGGGAAGTAGGGGAAACTGAACAAATTCCGATATATGGTGAGTTTTGCAATTAAAGGTTGCTGGGTTTTTCTTCTCCTGCCATTTTCCAGCTACAATTTGCTCTTCTCCTGCCATTTTCCAACTGCAATTTGCTGCTGTAATTGTCAATTTGTTGCTGTTATTTAGTTACATATACCTATAGTTTTTGTTTTTGTTTAGGACTGAAAGATGATAATTTCACAATCGAACTTCATTATAAGAGAGAAATGGTGTACATACATGAAGACATATGTTATTTTGAAGGTGAAGTTATATATTTGGATTGGATTGATCCAGAAGAGAAGAAGATTGGAGAATGGAGGACGAACTTTCGCGTTGGAGTAGAGAAGAGAATAGAATAAAAGAGGATTGGAGTTAGAACAAGAAGAGAGGAAGAGATTTACGTCTCTAGTTAGGGTGGTTTGCAATTTTGGAAGGGTTTTTTGGGGGAAGGTTTTGGGGAAAAGAAGAATAATAAACGGGTCTGGAAGGGTTTTTTTGGGAAGGTTTTGGGAATAGAAGAATAATAAACATGCTATATTTAGTCGACGGAAATGATGTGGCAGGAGCTGATGTGGCAGCCCGCGTGGCATGAAAAATTACCGTTCGGCACCTACCATTAGTTTTGTGGACGGAAATGCTTTAGTTGCAACAGGAAGGTAACGTAAATGGTTTAGTTGCAACGTAAATTACGTAGGTGGTTAACGTGCAACAAATAGTTAAGTTAAGTGGTAGATGGTGCAATTAACCCGTATTTGTACATGTAGCTAATCCAAACTGATTTAGAATTTCCATGGTTGTCATGCCGGCCGGCGTGCCACCGGTTGTACCGGGTTCAATCGGTACCGGTCATAAAACCGGCGCGACACCACCTGTATGACCGGCATAATCGATATAAGAATCTCTAAGTAAAATGACTTTATTTTAGAGAATTTAATTAATAAAATTTATTTTATTATTTATTTTATGAGTATAAAAGTTAACTATTGATATTATTTGTTGGATTCAAGTATAAATGCTTAGGTATTGACGTTAAATGTCATGTTTGAATATGAGTATTTATAATTTTATTTGTAATATTGACCGGCATGAACCGGCACAAATCGGTATGTGCCGCCGGTTGAACCATTCCACTTGCTAAACCGGCACACTGGCATAAACCGGTTTGACAACCTTGAATTTCCAAACACATGGATTCAATAAAATACTTGCGAACTTGAGTTGGTGTCTAGGGAATTTCGCACCGCTTTTCTCGGAGAGTAAACAGGAAACCGGCGTCTAGGATTTGTTTCTTCGAAAGGTTTCTGACAGCCTGATGGCGGCTCCGATGCTGCCCCCAGCCCCTTCTAGGGGGAGCACAAACCCCCGGATCCAAATTTAGGAGTCCGGTGACCACCAGACATCTCATCATTGCCGGATGGGAAAAAGCTAGGGAAGCGCGGCACCCAAAGAAACGTGCCCGACCATTGAATATGTCGGATGATAACTTTGATATGGAGACAGTGATTATCGACGATATAACTGATGAGGAGGAACTCAATCCTATGGGGGAGGAATGGCAACCGAAACTGGGTTTGCACCAAGACCTACAGGGGAATACAAAGTCGCAGACAAACGATCGTAAACAGCCAATGGCCTGGGGTGAAAATAAGAAGAAGTTATTCAGCGAAGCGGTCCAAGAAGTAGAATGGTATGTTGCAGAATCCGACTCAGAAGATATAGCTGAAGCAGTGAAGGAGGATGACTGAAGAAGTTGATCCTAGCGAGGTGGATCCCAAGTGCCCGACTGTGCATTTTATCACCGTTTGAATGGCACAAATATAGACATGAGTGGCGTTCAGCTATTGTAGTCAAATTTCTTGGTCGTTCGTTCCCATATCCAGTAGTGGCTAAACGTCTAAATATGTTGTGGACCAAATTCGGAATCATCCAAGTAACGAAGAGAGGGTATGGCTACTATCTTGTTCGATTTACGAGTAAACTTGACTACGAACATGCTCTCATGGAAGGACCGTCGATGTTGGGTGATCATTATCTTACTACGCACCCTTGGTGGAAGGGGTTTAGCCCAAATCATCATACCATAAACTCGACTCTTGTCTGAGTCCAGATGTCGGATCTACCCATTGAGATACACCATTCGGAAGCAGTCCTACGCATAGCTGGCTGTGCGGGAAAACCATTTTGTTTGGATAGAGCAATAGAAACTGGAACCAGAGCTAAATTTTCCAAAGTTTCCGTTGAAATTGATCTGACCAAGAAGCTTATCTCAAAATTCAAAGTCGCAGGAATTGAATACGAATTTCAGTACGAGGGCTTAACCAATATTTGCTTTCATTGCGGGAAATATGGACATTCACAACCCCGCTGCCCTAGCCTGCACATGGAGGAGTTGGAACCTCCACAGCCCAACATAGAAAAGAATTCTAACGATAGGCATGAGGAACAATATGGAGAATGGATAATAGCCAAGAGAAGAGCTCGTCGTCCAACAACACGCCAAAATGCAGAGGCTGGTGGGTCACAACATCAGAATAATAATACACTTGTGTAAGCCAGACCATCGGGATCTAGATTTGCAGCGCTAGCAGACGATGAAGGGATCACTCGGCCCACAGGGAAGCCATCTAGTCATGCATCCCAAAGTGATAAAACTACGTGAAAATCGACCACTACCCCCTCCCCCGGCGCCAGCAAAGTGTGGCAAGAAAAAAGTGCTAAGGTTGTTCAGAGTACCTTTTTCTGGAACGTGAGGAAAGTGTGCCTATGCATGAGAATGCACAAATGACGAGGATGTATGTCACAAGCAAGCTTAATGGAGGACAAGATGCAACGAACGACCCAACAACTGATGTCAAACTGCTCAGCCGAAATCCAATGAATTAGCTACAACTTCAAGTTGGGCATCCCGGAGATGACAGTGAACAAGTCCCTGATGGTGGCTCTCAAGCAATTGATACTACAGAATAGGTGAACCGCATCAAAAAGCTATCGAATCCTCCTGGTACCTTCTAGCAAGCTCACTCTATCATTTCAAGGAAGGAGCCCGATTAAACAAAAGAGGCGATGACAGATTGCGAGCAAGTCGGATGGCGAAACTCAGCTAGCGAGTGTCCTCAAAGGGAGAGCCCTCTGCTGACGGCTTCCTCTCATGATCAATAAAGGGGCGGACTGTCCAACTACCCTACCAGGTTTCTCATGGATGTAATCTTTGCATGGAATTGTAGGGGGCTGGGAGCAAAAGCTTCCTACGTGTTCTCAAGGAATATCGGAGCAAGCATAGTGATGACTCGGTATTTGCACATGTTTTCCCCTTTGTTTCTTGATTGTTTGAGCTTGAATTATTGCGTCTTTGGCCTATTTTATGCTAGGTTGTATTCCCTTGTCCCATTTCAGGTCCTAGCACATAAAGTGAAGCATAGGCGCAAGTTTCAAGTCAATCAGAGATCAATTGACGATTCGAGAGAAGAAACTCGGGCATGACCTGAAGAAGAATGGATTTCTACCTCACTTTATGGACAAAGAATCATGCAAGCTTGTTATGAAACGAAAGAGGACGAGACTACGAGCGTCTGGGATCAAACGGCGATTGATTCGGAGTCCGGACGAGGGAGAAACGAAGCATTAAACAGAGGCTGAGCAAGCTGCACGGGCAGACCAGCGTGGCCACGCACGGCCGTGCAAGTGACCAGTTTGGCCGTGCGGGATTGTGCGTGGGCACGCACGGGCACAAGTGAAATCCGCACGGCCGTGCAACATACAATTCTGGCCGTGCGAGTTGGCTGAGGTTCAACTAATTGATACGCCGCGTTTTGAGGTGCACGGCCAGAATGGTGATGTGCACGGCCGTGCACCCTGGCCGTGCGAGTCGGGATTTCCTGGTTTTAAGCCAAATTCCGAACCAAAGAAGAGAGAGCTGGGTTTTGGATCCCAAACACCCAAGGGACGAACCCTAGAGAGAGGGCGATTTGAGGGCATTCTTGGAGTAGAGAAGGAGGATTTCTTCGCCTTGGAAGCTCGAGGAACAAGCCCGGACTTGAAGACTGATCATCTGAAGATTCTTACTGCAGTCTCTCTCTTCTCTATGGAGTAACTTCCCTTCACTTAGGTTTTGAGGAACCCTAGCTATGTTTGTTTGATTGGATGATTGTATGAGTACTCTGACTGGATAATCTTGAGTTCATATTCAATCTATGCATGTTTTCATGATTCAATTCTACTTTAGTCGAGATTATTGATTCTGCTTTGATTCTATGAGAGGGAATACCTGATTAGGTCAATAGAGCACCATAGATTGATAGTAGTGGATCGATTGCTTTAGTCGAGGGTTGATTCACTGCTTTGTATCGATTGAGAACCCCTTTCGATAGAGGGAGTCTAGTTCAGAACGCCTTGATCAGTTGTTCTAGAGAAGGATACGTCCCTCTAGGCAATTGACTCAAGAGGGCCTTGTTCCTTTAGTCGAGACTCAAGGTCTAGTCAAGGATTCTCCGCATTGTGAATGAAAGTGAAACAGGTTAGAGATCATCAATCATTAATCTGGCTAGTGGCTAGGGGGAATCATACCTAAGTGAGTTCCCAACCTGTAATTAGATTAACTTTAACTGTAGTTTGCTAGAGTAGTTTTAGTTCTTTTATCTTAATCTGGTTTGCTAAATAATAAACTGAAGCTGAGTAATAGTAACTCTAGAGACCCGTGGATTCGATATTTATCACTTGAGCCACTATACTGCAGTCCCTTCCATTGGTTACACTTGGCCTTTGTGAGGTGTTGTGTTTTTGGAGTGTCAAGTTTTTGGCGCCGTTGCCGGGGACTTTCTAGAGTATTAGGAAAGGCAGAAGTTTGTTACTTTAGCGTTTTTCTTTTCTTTTCTTTTCCACCCTTGCTTTTCACTTGGGTGTTTTTGTTTTTGTTGGTACAGATCTGAATCATGGATCCTAATGGCTTCTCCAATCATTGGGGGTATCCACCACCATCTGGGTGGTATTACCCCGAGACTCCCTGGAGCAATCAAGGCAGAGAAGACTATGGATTCGGGTTCCAGTACCAACCCCCTTACTACGGAGAACAACCGGACCCCTGGGCATATCAAGAACAACCTCATTATCAAGAAGAATTTCTCCCACAACCAGAAGGGCCATCGGCACTGGAGTTACTCATGGAGCAGTATGCTCGAGACTGTGAGAGAACATGCTCCAGGATGGATCAGTGTGTCCAGGCCTATCGTGAAACAGAGGGGATCCTCCTGAGCCTTAAGAAGAGCGTCGATGATCTTGAGCGATCTTGGGCGCAACCTGCTCCAGATCACCCTTCTGCTACCATACAAGAAGATGAGGAGGAAGAAGAAGGCTACAAGGACATTGTGGAGCACACTGAAGTTGTCACGGAGAGCTCCCATGATGATCATGATCAGGAGTGTCCTGTCGTAGCCGACCAAACCTTCCCACACCCCAAACTGAGCTTTGAAGAGGCGGGCATGAGTGAGGAGATGCAAGAAGATCTCATGAAAGAAATTGCTTGGCAACTTGCTCTCCAATCCGTGCTAGAAGAAGAAGAGCAAGAAAGGGTGCAGAAAGAAGTTGTGGAGGATGAAGAAAGTGAAGCAGGAGGAGTTCTTGATCATTTCCCAGGGGTGATACCACATGAAGAAGGAAGGGAGGTTGAAGAAGCAATTGGCGTCCAGGCTGAGGACGGAGTTAAGGTGGAAGAGGCCTGCACTGGCCATGAGTTACATGTGATATCTCCACCAAACCTCGAGGAACTGCTTAGCAAGGACCCATTTGCAGTGTCTCTTTTCCAGACCAAGGCCACCTCGACATCGGTCCCTCTTGGTGGACGCGATGGTGGCCAATCGATGTCGTCATATCTGGTTTGGGGCAATGAGACGAGAGAAGAGAAGAAGAGGTCTCGAGGGTGGAGACTTCATCTGCATCAAGTACATGAGCCTTCATCACCTGCCACACCACATGCTCATGACTTGAGACTCCACCTCATCGACGAGAACCTCAACTTCAAGGAGGTTCTAGCATGGACCGAAACTTAGGAGCCATCGTCCGGCTCACGACGTGAAAGAAGCGCTTGTTGGGAGGCAACCCAACCAGTCGGTTTGCATTTCTTTCTCTTTTTCTCCTCGGTTGAGTCAGTTTTGTTATTTGATTTTAGAGTCAATAACTCAACCTTTGTGAGATTTTGTGTGGTGTTTGTGTTCTGATTACTCTCTCTTTCTGGAATGCACCGCCTGACCCGTTCATCATCATTCACCCTTGATCTGGTAACTTCGTTCTACCCTCCTTATCTTTCCTCCATTGAGGACAATGTCGTGCTTAAGTGTGGGGGGATGTTCGATTATGTATGCGGGTGAATGTTTGGCTGTTTGTGTGCTTGGAGCCTAGTCCACTGTCCAAATTTTTAAATTTGAGGGCTCCAAGTACGTGTTCCATGCAATTGCCTGCTCAGTATGCTTTGAATTGACAGTCTTTACAGTAATATGCAACCTAGGGAGGTAGTGTAGCACTATGGAGGATGTTGATGCATTTAAGAAGTCTCATTTCTTCTTCATATAAAGTTGGTTGATTGAGTGAATTAGTGATCTTAGGACCCTTGAATTGTGTGGTGTTGTGGATTCTCTACCTGTCATGGACTCTTGTGTCATGTTTTGAAAGTAACAGGTGCTCGAAAATGTGCTTCAAAATAAACGTCTCCCGTGCGAATAGGGCGAAAGTGTGTAAGGGGAGACGGGAATTCGTTCCCAATTTCCACCTACTACCTCCAGCCCCCTTACATGTCTTTCCCCCGCACGAGGCTCGAGACATCCACTCCTGGCATGGCCGGTAAGAGCAGGTTGGGACCCTTGAAAAAGAAAAGAAAAGAAAAATATCAGAAAACAAGCAAAACAAAAAAAAAGGGGTCTCAACCATCTTCAAGAAGCAGAAAATAGAGCACCTTGAAAAATGTGAGTCCATGATCTGTTGTTTTTGAGAATCTCCTCATCCACAATTCATTTGTTCTCTGTTCACTATTTGCCATGATGCCGACTCGCCGAAGAAGTTATGAGATGACTTGTGCGTCGGTTGACCTCGTAAGCTGCTAAATGATCTAGGAAGTCCTCTACCTACGATCTGGGTTGTTTGTTGCTATGGAGGTCTGGAGAGTTGCATTGGTTTGAGTTAGGTTTGCTTGGGGACAAGCAAACAGTTAAGTGTGGGGGGATTTGATGACTCGGTATTTGCACATGTTTTCCCCTTTGTTTCTTGATTGTTTGAGCTTGAATTATTGCGTCTTTGGCCTATTTTATGCTAGGTTGTATTCCCTTGTCCCATTTCAGGTCCTAGCACATAAAGTGAAGCATAGGCGCAAGTTTCAAGTCAATCAGAGATCAATTGACGATTCGAGAGAAGAAACTCGGGCATGACCTGAAGAAGAATGGATTTCTACCTCACTTTATGGACAAAGAATCATGCAAGCTTGTTATGAAACGAAAGAGGACGAGACTACGAGCGTCTGGGATCAAACGGCGATTGATTCGGAGTCCGGACGAGGGAGAAACGAAGCATTAAACAGAGGCTGAGCAAGCTGCACGGGCAGACCAGCGTGGCCACGCACGGCCGTGCAAGTGACCAGTTTGGCCGTGCGGGATTGTGCGTGGGCACGCACGGGCACAAGTGAAATCCGCACGGCCGTGCAACATACAATTCTGGCCGTGCGAGTTGGCTGAGGTTCAACTAATTGATACGCCGCGTTTTGAGGTGCACGGCCAGAATGGTGATGTGCACGGCCGTGCACCCTGGCCGTGCGAGTCGGGATTTCCTGGTTTTAAGCCAAATTCCGAACCAAAGAAGAGAGAGCTGGGTTTTGGATCCCAAACACCCAAGGGACGAACCCTAGAGAGAGGGCGATTTGAGGGCATTCTTGGAGTAGAGAAGGAGGATTTCTTCGCCTTGGAAGCTCGAGGAACAAGCCCGGACTTGAAGACTGATCATCTGAAGATTCTTACTGCAGTCTCTCTCTTCTCTATGGAGTAACTTCCCTTCACTTAGGTTTTGAGGAACCCTAGCTATGTTTGTTTGATTGGATGATTGTATGAGTACTCTGACTGGATAATCTTGAGTTCATATTCAATCTATGCATGTTTTCATGATTCAATTCTACTTTAGTCGAGATTATTGATTCTGCTTTGATTCTATGAGAGGGAATACCTGATTAGGTCAATAGAGCACCATAGATTGATAGTAGTGGATCGATTGCTTTAGTCGAGGGTTGATTCACTGCTTTGTATCGATTGAGAACCCCTTTCGATAGAGGGAGTCTAGTTCAGAACGCCTTGATCAGTTGTTCTAGAGAAGGATACGTCCCTCTAGGCAATTGACTCAAGAGGGCCTTGTTCCTTTAGTCGAGACTCAAGGTCTAGTCAAGGATTCTCCGCATTGTGAATGAAAGTGAAACAGGTTAGAGATCATCAATCATTAATCTGGCTAGTGGCTAGGGGGAATCATACCTAAGTGAGTTCCCAACCTGTAATTAGATTAACTTTAACTGTAGTTTGCTAGAGTAGTTTTAGTTCTTTTATCTTAATCTGGTTTGCTAAATAATAAACTGAAGCTGAGTAATAGTAACTCTAGAGACCCGTGGATTCGATATTTATCACTTGAGCCACTATACTGCAGTCCCTTCCATTGGTTACACTTGGCCTTTGTGAGGTGTTGTGTTTTTGGAGTGTCACATAGTCCATGCATTGTGATTATTACTGAACCGTGAATAGGTGGAGATCGGAGAAAAAAAGGCATTGCAAGCATGGGGATGGATGGTGATTTGTTTATTGATTTGGTGGGCTTATCGGGTGGCATCTGGGTACTATGGGATGCTAATGTAGCCGATGTAATTGAGGTAACGCATTCAAATCAACAATTACATGTCTCAGTTTAGAGCGCTTCATCGAAATGGCTACTTTCGACAGTATATGGTAATCCAGCCCTTGTCCAGCGTCGCGATCTGTGGGAATCGCTCAGGAATATTGCGGAAACGGTGACGAAGCCATGGTTGGTTACTAGTGACTTCAACTCGATCTTATATGCATCTGAGAAATCGGGTGGAGCTCCGTTTGACGCTAGCAGGGCCAAGGATTTCCAAGATTGTATCTGATGACTTGATATATACACGTGTTTTTGTCCACCATTCTTACACCGTTTGAGTCTTATCTCTCGTGTTTTAAGCCGATTTCACGCTACGTTGTTCTTGTTTGTGATATTTCAGGTCCTAGTACGTGAATGAAGGTTTGGGAACTAGTTCAGGGTCGGTTGGACAAAGAGTGGACATTTGGCGAGAAACTGAGGAAGCCAGACGGGCACGCCTAAAAACCCACACGGCCGTGTGACCTGGCAGTGTGACATCAAACTACACGGGCAAGCCACACTGGCCGTGTAGGGGACCCCTTGTGGCCGTGTGGAAAGTCCAGGGAGCTCACACGGGCAGCCTGGAAATCCACACGGCCGTGTGGTTTTGGCTGTGTAGCATACCCGAAGCCACTTAAGTGAAACGCGACGTTTTGCACACTCACACGGGCAGCTGGGAAAGCCACACGGTTGTGTGGCCTGGCCGTGTGGTCGGGAATTTCTGGGGTTTAACCAAAATTCGAGCCGAAGGAGAGGGAATCGACTTTTTGGATCAAAAACAGAACCCTAGAGAGAGAAAGTGCGAAGAACACCCCCTAAGAGTGGTTTTGGAGCTGGGTTTCATCAATCAAGCTTGGAAATCATCCTTGGAGTGAAGATCATCATCCCAGAGAAGATTCTTCCCATCTTGATGAGTATGACTGCTTTGTTTTTTGTTTCCCTCTCTCTCTCTATGGAGTAGAACTCTCTCTCACTTGGGTATGAAGAACCCTAGTTCCATGTGGTAGGAATCTTGATTGTAATTACGTTTGGATTGTGATATTGCTTGATTATAATCGATTGAAGTGTTCTGAATGAGTCAATTGAAGTCTGATCATCTTTTATTGATTTCTGCTGCAACCTGAGATAGATAGAATCTGATTAGGTTGTTAGAGCTTCTACAATCGGTAGTAGTGAATCGATTATACGAGAGTTAGTCGATTCACTGCTTTGTACTGAAATCTAATTCCAGTAGTGGAGTTTTGTGTTCATTGCCTCAGCATTCTATCCCGGTGAAGACTAGTCGTCTGCCGGGTAGTTTGACTGAGAGGGCTTGGTCAGCTTAAGAGATTCAAAGCTAATGTCGGATCTTCCGCATTATAATCAGCAGTAAAGCAACCAAAAGTAATTACAACTGTGACCTAACTAAGGATCTAGGGGGACTCATTCCCGAGTGACTCTTCCTTTGCTTTAGAAAACCGAACCATTTCCTGCTTTCTTATTGCTTTTACTTAAATCAACAATCACTCAACTTAGTTTGCTAGATAACAGATATACACGGAGTAGGCAGTAGATCTAGACCCCAGGTTGACAATTAGAGCTTGCCTGTTACTGCATTTTGATAACGATGTAATTGCACATGTTTGCGCCCCTAGTTCTTATCCGTTTGAGGGGCATAGTCGTGTGTTTTGGCCTATTTTACGCCGGGTTGTGCTATTTTGTCATATTTCAGGTCCCAGGCGTCAAAGGGAAGGCTAACCACGAGTTTCGGGGCATTCGGAGGTCATTTCGTCAAGCTGGGGCCAAAACACGGGCACACCTAAGGCATTACACGGCCGTGTCCTGTGGCCGTGCTTTTTATGCCGAGAGCTGAGCTGATTACACGGGCAGGGCCGAGACAAAGCACGGCCGTGTTCAAGCATTACACGGCCGTATCCAACGCGAAGCACGGCCGTGTTTATCCCAACTGCTGGCCGTGTAATTAACCCTGGCCGAGACACGGGCGGACTCAGGCAAAGCACGGCCGTGTCCTCGACCGTGCTTTGGCCACTGATGCCTTTTTAAGCAGATTTTCAGCCAAAGAGATGGGGATTCGAGTTTTTGAGAGATAGAACGATTCCTAGAGAGAGAAAGTGACGAACAAGAGTCTCCAAGTGCCCTAGATTGATCTTCAACACCATTGGAGGCCAATTTGAGCTTGGAGAAGTGCCAATCAACGTCCAGGAGCAGGAATCCATCCTTCACAGTATGAATTCCGCGTCTGATTCTGCTTTTGCTTTCTTCTCCATGGAGTAGTTCTCCCATTCATCTGGGTATGGAGAACCCTAGATTTGTATGTTAGGCTTTGATTGTATGAACCCAAGTACTGATTCTATGATTGTTTATATTCGATTGAGGTTTTAATGATTGAATGACTTGAATCCTGATCAAATTCCTGTTGTTTCTGCTTTAACCTAGAATGAGAATATCTGCCTAGGTTGATAGAGCATCCTTGATTGAGGGTAGGGAGTTGGTGACTTTAGTCGAGGAGCCAACTCACTATTCTGTACCGGATTTACTCCGGTAGTGGAGGTTTTGTTCTTAGGGCCTCAATCTGTCTACTCCGGTGGAGGTTAGTCGCCCGCTAGAGAGTCAGATTGAGAGGGTCTGAAGACCTTTAGTCGAGACTTCAAGCTGTTCAAGAACCTTCCGCAGTATAACTATCATAGAAACTGAACTTGGTAATTACAATCCGGCTTAACTGCAGTCTAGGGGGAACCATATCCGGGTGACCTCTCTTAACATGAATACAACCGTTTACCTGCTTTGTTAGTTTGTTAGTTAGACTTGCATTCCAGTTTCATTGCTAGATAACAAGATTTCACTGAGTAGTCATCAGATCTAGGACCCGGGTTGATAATTAAACCCAAACCCGCTATACTACGCTTTAGGAAGTGGTTTCACTTGGCCAATTCCTAGGGTGACAGTAGAGTCGAGTCACATTTCCGGACTGCGATTACACTTGGTCGCAGTTTGGTGTTGTGTTTTAGCGTGTCAAGTTTTTGGCGCCGTTGCCGGGGACCCTCTAAGTTATTGGAGAAACGTGAAAGTTTGTTACGCTAACTTTTTCTTTACTGCATTTTCTCTCTTCCACCTGCGTGCCTTCATGGGTTGCTTTTGTTGATTGTGTGCAGGTAGTGCATGACCCGTAGCCAGTCAGGAGATTTACTACCATTAGACCAGGAGCTTGAACGGACCTGTAGGAACTTCAAGCAGGCTCTAAAGGCGCGACTGGCTGCGGAGGAGGCGCTAGCACAGCTGCAAATCGCCGACGAAGAAGAGATGGGTGACCCACAGAACAATGATGTGGTCATTCCGGAGGAACATACCATGGGGTACTACTAGACCACCAGAGCCGGGGACATGAGGTCGCTCATTCAGCACCCTCATGTCCCAGCGAATAACTTTGAGGTGAGCACCTCTGTCATCACCATGCTGCGCGGTTCGGTGGTGTTCCGAGGCAAGGAGGGGGAGTGCCCCCGATCACACCTGAGTCGATTCCACGAGCTCATCGATGGGATCAAGATCAATGGGGTCCCAGCCGATGCAATCCAGCTAAGGTACTTCCCGTTTACTCTGGAGGGGCAAGCCAAGGAGTGGTTAGACACTCGACCTCCAAGTTTGATCACCACGTTCGCCAACCTGGCGTACAAGTTCCTCACTTGCTACCATCCTCCATCCAAGACGGCGGACCTGCAGAAGCAAATTACCCACTTTGCTAAGGATGAAGACGAGACCATCCGGGATGCTTGGAAGAGATACACCAGTGACACTCCAAAACACAACACCAATCTGCGACCAAGTGTAATCGCAAACCGGGAATGCAGTAAAGTGGCACAAGTAATAAATATCGAATCCACGGGTCTCTAGAGTTACTATTACCCAGCTTCAGTTCATTATCTAGCAAACTAGATTAAGGATTGATTTATAAACTACTCTACTGACTACTCTACTAATTACAAGTTGTGAACTCACTTAGGTATGATTCCCCCTAGCTCCTCAATTAGGTCCAAGTTGCAATTAACTTTGGTTGATCTACTGTTGATTAAACTGCGGAAGATCCGAAAATAGCTTGGAATCTCTTAAGCTGACCAAGCCCTCTCAGTCCAACTACCCGGCAGGCGACTAACCTTCACCGGGATAGAAAGCTGAGGCTATGAACACATAACTCCACTACCGGAATTGGATTCCAGTACAAAGCAGTAGATTGACTAACTCTCATATAACCAATTCACCACCATCAATCAAGGAAGCTCTCTTAACCTAATCAGATTCTATCTATCATAGGTTAAAGCAATAATCAAGAGAATTTGATCAAGATTCAATTGACTCAATAAATCATGCCCCAATCGATTATAATCAAACAATATAGCATCCAAAACTTCATACAAGAAAGATCCTAACACATGGAACTAGGGTTCCTCAAAACCTAAGTGAAGGGAAGTTACTCCATAGAGAAGAGAGAGACTGCAAAAATCTGATCTAGATCTTCAATCTCCATCTCCAAGCTTGATTCCCGAGCTCCAATGGCGAAGAAATCCTCCAAAATAGCTCCAAGAATGTTCCCAAGTCGCTCTCTCTCTCTAGGGTTTGTCCCTTGGGTGTTTGGGAACCAAAAACCCAACTCTCCCCTTTCCTTTGGCTGAAAATCGAGTTTTAAACAGAAATTACCGATCACGCGGCCAGGCCACACAACCGTGTGGCTTTCCCAGCTGCCCGTGTGAAGGCTCGGTGATTTCCACACGGCCACGACCCACACAGCCGTGTGTAATTCCAGGATGCCCGTGTGGCTTGCTCAGCCTCTGTTTAATGCTTCGTTTCTCCCTCGTCCGGACTCCGAATCAGACCCCGTTTGATCCCAGACGCTCGTAGTCTCGTCCTATTTCTTTTCATGACAAGTTTGCATGATTCTTTGTCCATAAAGTGAGGTAAAAATCCATTCTTATTCAGGTCATGCCCGAGTTTCTTCTCCCGAATCGTCAATTGATCTCTGATTGATTTGAAACTTGCGCCTATGCTTCACTTTATGTGCTAGGACCTGAAATGTGACAAAGGAACACAACCTAGCATAAAATAGGACAAAGACACAATAATTCAAGCTCAAACAATCAAGAAACAAAGGGGAAAACATGTGCAAATACCGAGTCATCAAATCCCCCCACACTTAACTGTTTGCTTGTCCCCAAGCAAACCTAACTCAAACCAATGCAGCTCTCCAGACCTCTATAGCAACAAACAACCCTGATCATCGATAGAGGATTTCCTAGATCATATAGCAGCTTACGAGGTCAACTGGTATTCTAAGATGTCCCCTATCTCTCTCAATGCGAGTACTAGACTCAAGCCAGGAACATGAGAAGAAGTAGAAGTAAGACAGTCAATTCTTGGACAAAGGGACTCACCATTCACAACCAAGGACTCGTTGTACCGGGGTGCTCTTTCACTTCGTTTCACCGTTGGAACCCCTTTTTACACTTTCATTTACATTTCTTTTTCTCTTTTTTTCTTCATTCACTTGGCGGGGTTCCAACTGCAGTCTTTTGCACGGTCGACCCTTATTAGTCGAGCAAGAGCAATTTTTGTACATCTAGCGCTCGCCAGAGTACTTCTTTTAACTCCTTTTCCTCAACTCGTGTGGAGGGTCAATGAAATCAAGGGGGGTCGGAAGCTCTATCCGTGCCCTTAAAAACACATCCTCAAGTAGGCAAACCGTTCAACGGGTGGAAGTTTTACTTGTACTAGAGACGGCTTAGCTTCACCTTGTAGGAGTACCCCACTAAGGATCACTAAAATCTCTTTCAAACCCCGATTTTGTGCAATGAACGGTGCCACACACGTTGGGCTTACCCCATGTTTAAGATTTAACAATTTTGATATGGAGGACCAACTGCATTTTTCATTTTCCACATGAGCACCCTGTTCGATACACGAGTCCAAAACACAATCCACATAGAGTCACCATTACCACATGAATTCAACGGTCCTAGCTCCACTAATTCACCAAAACAACTGGCACAACAAAGAGCTAGATAGGAAAAATCTTATACTTCAACATCCTCCATAGTGCTACACTACCTCCCTAGGTTGCACATTACTATAGAGACTGTCAATTCAAAGCATACTAAGCAGGCAATTTGCAAGGAAATACGTACTTGGAGCCCTCAAATTTAAAAATTTGGACAATGGACTAGGCTCCAAGCACACAAACAGCCAAACATTCACCCGCATACATAATCGAATATCCCCCCACACTTAAGTTCGACATTTTCCTCAATGGAGGAAAGATAAGGAGGGTAGAACGAAGTTACCAGATCAAGGGTGAATGATGATGGACGGGTCAGGCGGTGCATTCCAGGAAGAGAGAGTAATCAGAACGCAAACACCACACAAAATCTCACAAAGGTTGAGTTATTGACTCTAAAATCAAATAACAAAACTGACTCAACCGAGGAGAAATAGAGAAAGAAATGCAAACCGACTGGTTGGGTTGCCTCCCAACAAGCGCTTCTTTCACGTCGTGAGCTAGATGATGGCTCCTAAGTTTCAGTCCATGCTAGAACCTCCTTGAAGTTGAGGTTCTCGTCAATGAGGTGGAGTCGCAAGTCACGAGCATGTGGTATGACTGGTGATGGAAGCTCGTGCACTTGATGCAGATGAAGTCTCCATCCTCGAGACCTCTTCTTCTCTTCTCTCGTCTCATTGCCCCAAACCATATATGACAACATCGATTGACCACCATCGCGTCCACCAAGAGGGACCGATGTCGATGTGGCCTTGGTCTGGCAAAGAGACACTGCAAATGGGTCCTTGCTAAGTAGTTCCTTGAAGTTTGGTGGGTATATTACTTGTATTATAGGGCCGGTGCAAGCCTCTTCCACCTTAACTTCATCCTCAGCCTGGACACCACTCGCTTCTTCAACCCCCCTTTCTTCTTCATGTGGTATCACCCCTGGGAAATGATCAAGAACTCCTCCTGCTTCACTTTCGTCATCCTCCACAACTTGTTTCTGCACCCTTTCTTGCTCTTCTTCTTCTAGCACAGATTGGAGAGCAAGTCGCCATGTAATTTCTTCAATGAGATCATCTTGCATCTCCACGCTCGGGCCCAGCATGTTAGAGCAGAAATAAGGAAATGTGTGATCTGCAACCAGAGTACTTTCCTGATCATGATTATCATGAGAGTTCTCTGTGATAACTTCTGTATGCTCCTCAACATCCCCGTAGCCTTTGTCATCCTTCACCTCTTCTAGCGTGGTAGCAGAAAGGTGATCTTGAGCAAGATGTGAGCAAACTTGCCCCACCCACTCTGTTTGCTTCGCTGAGCGCTGAACAGTCTCCTCCATTTCATGGAGAAATGAGGGATCGGAAGGGGAAAGGGCTTTGATTTGAAGATCCATCTTGGAGCATGATCTCTTAGTGTCTCGAGCAAGCTGCTCCACGAGAAGCCTTAATTGTTTGTTCGGATCTTCCAGTGAAGTGTAGCATGGCTCTGCAGAGTGGCCCATGAAGGCTGTGGCAAACCCAAGATCTGATGGTCCTTCTTGTTGTGGGAGGAATTCTTCTTGATAAGGAGATTGTTCTTGAAATACCCAGGGGTCTGATTGTTCTTCGTAGTAGGGGGGTTGGTACTGAAACCCGACTCCATAGTCTTCTCCTCCTTGGTTACTCCAGGGAGTCTCGGGGTAATACCACTCGGATGGTGGTGGATACCTGATAACGATGTAATTGCACATGTTTGCGCCCCTAGTTCTTATCCGTTTGAGGGGTATATTCGTGTGTTTTGGCCTATTTTACGCCGGGTTGTGCTATTTTGTCATATTTCAGGTCCCAGGCGTCAAAGGGAAGGCTAACCACGAGTTTCGGGGCATTCGGAGGTCATTTCGTCAAGCTGGGGCCAAAACACGGGCACACCTAAGGCATTACACGGCCGTGTTCCTATGGCCGTGCTTTTTATGCCGAGAGCTGAGCTGATTACACGGGCAAGGCCGAGACAAAGCATGGCCGTGTTCAAGCATTACACGGCCGTATCCAACGCGAAGCACGGCCGTGTTTCTTACCAATTGCTGGCCGTGTAATTAAGCCTTGGCCGAGACACGGGCGGACTCAGCCAAAGCACGGCCGTGTCCTCGACCGTGCTTTGGCCACTGATGCTTTTAAGCAGATTTTCAGCCACAAGTCAAAGGGATTCGAGTTTTTGAGAGATAGAACGATTCCTAGAGAGAGAAAGTGACGAGCAAGAGTTCCCTAGTGCCCTAGATTGATCTTCAACACCATTGGAGGCCAGCTTGAGCTTGGAGAAGTGCCAATCAATGTCCAGAAGCAGGAATCCATCCTTCGCAGTATGAATTTCGTGTCTGATTCTGCTTTTGCTTTCTTCTCCATGGAGTAGTTCTCCCATTCATCTGGGTATGGAGAACCCTAGATTTGTATGTTAGGCTTTGATTGTATGAACCCAAGTACTGATTCTATGATTGATTATATTCGATTGAGGTTTTAATGATTGAATGACTTGAATCCTGATCAAATTCCTGTTGTTTCTGCTTTGACCTAGAATGAGAATATCTGCCTAGGTTAATAGAGTATCCTTGATTGAAGGTAGGGAGTTGGTGACTTTAGTCGAGGAACCAACTCACTATTCTGTACCGGATTTACTCCGGTAGTGGAGGTTTTGTTCTTAGGGCCTCAATCTGTCTACTCCGGTGGAGGTTAGTCGCCCGCTAGAGAGTCAGATTGGGAGGGTCTGAAGACCTTTAGTCGAGACTTCAGGCTGTTTAAGAACCTTCCGCAGTATAACTATCATAGAAACTGAACTTGGAAATTACAATCCGGCTTAACTGCAGTCTAGGGGGAACCATATCCGGGTGACCTCTTTAACCTGAATACAACCGTTTACCTGTTTTGTTAGTTTGTTAGTTAGAATTGCATTCCAATTTCATTGCTAGATAACAACAATTCACTGAGTAGTCATCAGATCTAGGACCCGGGTTGACATATAAACCTAACCCGCTATACTACGCTTTAGGAAGTGGTTTCACTTGGCCAATTCCTAGGGTGACAGTAGAGTCGAGTCAATACCCCCAATGGTTGGAGAAGCCATGAGGGTCCATGATTCAGATCTGCACCAACAAAAACAAAAAACACCCAAGTGAAAAGCAAGGGCGGAAAACAAAAAGAAAAACGCTAAAGTAACAAACTTCCGCCTTTCCTAATAATCTAGAAAGTCCCCGGCAACGGCGCCAAAAACTTGACACTCCAAAACACAAAACCAATCTGCGACCAAGTGTAATCGCAGACCGGGAATGCAGTAAAGTGGCACAAGTAATAAATATCGAATCCACGGGTCTCTAGAGTTACTATTACCCAGCTTCAGTTCATTATCTAGCAAACTAGATTAAGGATTGATTTATAAAGGGTAAATATAATTTAATATCCAAACCTTTTATTTTAAACAATATAATAACCAAACCTTTTTGAAAACAATCTAATATCCAAATCGTCAACTTTTTGTCTGTTTGACCGTTAGTTGACACTTCAAAAAAGTTCGAAGTACGACACTTCATCAATATTCATCGATATCTTCTCTGAAAAACCACCAACATATCGTAGTTCCAAACCCGAGAAGTCTATGACTCCACCATGATGGTATAGAATATCTAAATATTCAGTCATCTGCAATCCAAAATAAGAAAACAAAGTTGTATTGTGACAATTTCCCCAAAACAAAGCTTTTTTGAAGTGTCAACTAACGGTCAAACGAACGGAAAGTTGACGATTTGGATATTAGATTGTTTTCGAAAAGGTTTGGCTATTATATTGTTTAAAATGAAAGGTTTGGATATTAAATTGTATTTACCCATTTATAAACTACTCTACTGACTACTCTACTAATTACAAGTTGTGAACTCACTTAGGTATGATTCCCCCTAGCTCCTCAATTAGGTCCAAGTTGCAATTACCTTTGGTTGATCTACTGTTGATTAAACTGCGGAAGATCCGACAATAGCTTGGAATCTCTTAAGCTGACCAAGCCCTCCCAGTCCAACTACCCGGCAGGCGACTAACCTTCACCGGGATAGAAAGCTGAGACTATGAACAAAGAACTCCACTACCAGAATTGGATTCCAGTACAAAGCAGTAGATTGACTAACTCTCGTATAACCAATTCACCACCATCAATCAAGGAAGCTCTCTTAACCTAATCAGATTCTATCTATCATAGTTAAAGCAGAAATCAAGAGAATTTGATCAAGATTCAATTGACTCAATAAATCATGCCTCAATCGATTATAATCAAACAATATAGCATCCAAAACTTCATACAAGAAAGATCCTAACACATGGAACTAGGGTTCCTCAAAACCTAAGTGAAGGGAAGTTACTCCATAGAGAAGAGAGAGACTGCAGAAATCTGATCTAGATTTTCAATCTCCATCTCCAAGCTTGATTCCCGAGCTCCAATGGCGAAGAAATCCTCCAAATAGCTCCAAGAATGTTCCCAAGTCGCTCTCTCTCTCTAGGGTTTGTCCCTTGGGTGTTTGGGAACCAAAAACCCAACTCTCCCCTTTCCTTTGGCTGAAAATCGAGTTTTAAACAGAAATTACCGATCACGCGGCCAGGCCACACGGCCGTGTGGCTTTCCCAGCTGCCCGAGTGAAGGCTCGGTGATTTCCACACGGCCACGACCCACACGGCCGTGTGTAATTCCAGGATGCCCGTGTGGCTTGCTCAGCCTCTGTTTAATGCTTCGTTTCTCCCTCGTCCGGACTCCGAATCAGTCCCTGTTTGATCCCAGACGCTCATAGTCTCGTCCTATTTCTTTTCATGACAAGCTTGCATGATTATTTGTCCATAAAGTGAGGTAGAAATCCATTCTTCTTCAGGTCATGCCCGAGTTTCTTCTCCCGAATCGTCAATTGATCTCTGATTGATTTGAAACTTGCGCCTATGCTTCATTTTATGTTCTAGGACCTGAAATGTGACAAAGGAACACAACCTAGCATAAAATAGGACAAAGACGCAATAATTCAAGCTCAAACAATCAAGAAACAAAGGGGAAAACATGTGCAAATACCGAGTCATCAACCAGTCTCTTCCTCAAGTGTCCCAACCATGGTTTTACTAACGCCTTCAAGGTGGGCACCTTCTACCATGCCCTCTTCCCGGAGGACAAGCAGCTGATTGACTCGGTCTGTGGCGGGAATATGCTCACCAAAACACCACCACATATAAATCAACTTTTTGAGGAGATGGCATAGCAGGGCTATGATTGGGGAAATGCGAGGAGATCCAGACGAGCACCAGGGTGGGGTGTGCATGCTGTAGCCACCCAGTCATCTGATTTGGTGCAGGTGGTATCGAAACTGGTTTCAGCCATCGATCGTTCTAGGATGATTTCAGGTACAGGACAACAACAGGCGATGCACTGCCAGTGGTGTGAGAGCTCCCATCACACCGTGGAAGAATGTCAGGCGATGAGGGAGTCGTCTACTCCCCAGGAGCAGGTTAACTTCATCAACAATGCCAGGCACAACGATCCTTACAGTAATACCTACAATGAGGGATGGCACCAGCTTCCAAATTTTTCCTGGAGTGTCAACAACAATCCAAAGCCACCTGGCTTCCAGGCTCCTACAGCTAGTTTTCCAAACCAGAGGCAGCCATACCAGCCTCGCCCGGACCAGATACAGCAACAACAGCCACTCTATCAGCCTAGACAGGGGCAGGCTTTTCAACAGCCCCCACAGTAGCAGTACCAGCAACCTGGTGCACCTCCATCAGTCCTAGCACCGGGTGATCCCGTGTCAGAACTGAGGGATCTAGTGACTACCTTGGCGAGCACTAGTACCCACAAGTTCAATAAATTGGAGCAATTCATGGAAGCGGCTGCAGGCAAATTCATGGAGATTGAAGCTGGCCAGAGAAACCATCAAGCACTCCTGCAAGATATGGATACCAAGATCAGGCACCTGGCAGATGCCCTTGCTTCCAGACCGGCTGGCACACTTCCTGGCCAACCCCTACCGAATCCTAGAAATCATAAGGAGGGCTTACACGCCATTACGCTGCGAAGTGGGACTGTGACTGCGGATGCACCGCAGAAGAGTGCCAAGAAGGTGACCCAGATCACCCCTGAGCCGGAAGAAGACCTAGTGATGGAAAAGGAGCCAGAGGATCAAGCTCCAAAGCCACAACCTATTGTGGCTGAATATAAGCCTAAGCTCCCTTTTCCCACCAGGATTCACAAAGACAGGTTAGAGGCAGAGTTTGCAACTTCTCGTCCATGCTTAGGAAGCTGCATGTTCAAGTGCCCTTCATGGAGGCACTATCTCAGATGCCTAAGTATGCGAAGTTCCTGAAGGAGCTTCTCTCAAAGAAGCAGAGGCTGAGCGAGCTAGCCTTTGTGGAGCTCAGCGAGGAGTGCTCGGCCATTCTGCAGAACAAGCTTCCGTAGAAGCAAAAGGACCCAGGTAGTTTTACTATCCCATGCTCTATAGGTAAATTGCATGTATAGAGGTCCTTGGCGGATCTAGGTGCTAGTATTAATGTGATACCATATAAATTATTCAAGAATCTAGGCATAGGTGAACCCAGTGCAACTAGGATGAGTATTCAACTAGCTGACCGATCTATAGTTCATCCTAGGGGCATAGTGGAAGAACTTCTGGTTAAGGTTGGCAGATTCTGTTATCCTGTGGATTTTGTTGTCTTGGACATCAATGAGGACACAGAAGTGCCCCTTATACTGGGAAGGTCTTTCCTGACCACCGTCAAGGCTCTTATAGATGTACATGATGGGACCTTAGTCTTAAGGGATGGCGAGGAGCAAATAACATTTTATATTGCTAATACTCTCCCTGCTTCATCGCCTTTGCATGATGTTTCTCACCAGGAGCACGAGTATGTAGTGTATCCTTCTATGCTTCCCATTTTGCAGGAACCCCGTTCCATACCTTCGCCACCACTCCCGTCCACTCCGTCACCAAAGGAAAAGATCAAGGAGGAGTGGCGGCCAAAACTGCAGGTAGCTAAGGCTAATCACAAGAACGCCGGAGACCACGATGAGCGGGTCCCGCCTCCTGAGCCTCGACCACCTTGGCCATCCGAGTATTCACTCGCTTGCATCCTGCCGGATGGCCAGGTCGAGTTGACGAGTGCTGGTGGTCACACCCGCCGTGTGCATGGCCACCATCTGAAGCTGTACCTCAAGAGCGATGTGGATCCGCTCTTGAAGGCACCTGCTCCTACACCTCTTTGAGCATCCACCTACTGGCGTCTAGCTAAAAGACGGTAAAGAAGCGCTTGTGGGGAGGCAACCCCACCTAGGTTTGCATTTCCTTTCTTTTTCCCTTTTGATTTTTTGTGTTTTTGAGTCTTGAGGTGTTGTCCTAGGGTCGAATGTCGATTTTGCACGGAAACAGGTAAAATTCGGGGCTCTGGAATTCCACACGGCCAGGCCTAAATCCCACACGGCCGTGTGGAATTGGCCTTTGGCCGTGTGGAGGCCCTGGAAATTCCACACAGGCAGTGGGGGTCCCCCACACGGCCGTGTAGAATTGGCCTTTGGCCGTGTGAAGGCTCAGTGATTTTCACACGGCCATAATTGCTCTTCCACGCGGCCGTGTGAAATCCTCGGCCACCCCGTGTGATTTTCTCGGCCACACACGGGCACTATTGTACCTCACACGGCCGTGTGGGCATGCCAGTGTGGTCGAGCCAGCGTCTATAAATTCAAACCACACGGCCGCGTCGCCAGAAAATTCAACTCCCCTAGCCGGAATCCTCTCCCCCTCACCGGGGAACCGCGACTTTTCACCTCTTTGGGGATTTTCCGGTCATTTTTTGTCGATTTTTCACCAACCCAACACCTCACCCAACCTTTCCTTCCCATTTTCGGCCTATCCCTTGATTTTGAGGCGATTTGGACCGATTTTGAGTCGCCGGAGGCGATTTCCGGCGAGACTGCGGCGAGGCTCCGACGAGCATTTCCGGGAAGATTTTGGGGTTTTCGTCGCTTCCATTGCTTTCCCCTCATCATCCCCTACACCTCTACTTGTGTCTCCAGGTTTGATTTTGCCCTTTACGTTGTGAATTGTGGAGAATTGGGTGTTAGGGTGTATGTTTAGAGAACAACTTTGCAATGCGTGAATTGTGTGCAATTGTGTGCAATTGATTGAGGGGAAGGCTTGGTTTATGTGTGAATTGTGTTGAGCAATGTCCCCATGCTTGTTGGAGCCCTTGTGTGCAAGAAATTTGCCAATTCCATGCTTAACTTAATAGTGCACACAATGTGTTCGATGAAATGCCAGTTTTTCATACCATTTTGTGGGAGCCGGTTGGGGCCCTTAATGATGTGCTTTGATGGTGTATTTGCTATGGATGTGAACCTTAAGTTTCCTACTTCATCATGGATGTGCACCCCCACCCAGATTGTGCTTGTTTGATCAAGTTATTGACCCCCGAACTATGGATGAAACTATGGTTCGGCTGTTTTCTGCTATCAAGTGTGGGGGTGTGATTAACCTTTTCTATGGCTCTTTTGGCTCCACTTTGGGTTGTTCTTTTGCAGGACCATGACGAAACTCGACCTCAAGCACCCGTTCATCCGGGATTTGAAGAGGGCCCCCCACCAGGATCGCTTTAAGCGCGTCCTGGCCTCCTCGTTTGGAAAGCATCACTACTGGTCCAGGAGGGAGTTTGAGAAGCTGAATTGCTACGACCACTTCCTCGCCATTGCCACCAACCGCCCTTGTCGCCGTCTGTTTTTCATTCGAGAGAAGGTCTACCACGAGCTGGTGCTCGAGTTCTATACGACCTTCAAGCACGAAGATACCGAGGATTGAGCAGATGGTGAAGCCGTCAAGTTCAAGCTCGGCAGTGAGCCCCGCTCCATGAGCTACCACGACTTGGCGTTCGCTCTCGAACTCGGTCTGGACGATGATATGGACTACGTCACCAAGCTCAACGATCCAGTGGGTGTTAACTTCAAGACGTTGTACACCCGCCTAGCTCAGTCTGGCCAGCGTCCCTTCGTTGCAGGGCGGACGAAGGCCAGCACCCTGCATCTCGATAACCGCATTCTCCACCACATGCTGGCAAAGTCCTACACTCCAGCTGGGGACAGTGCCAGCACCCTCACCAAGAGATCCGTGTACTTCATCCAGTCCATTCGCACGGCAAACCATCCTCTCCACCTGGGTTCTATGGTGGCCAGGACCCTGGACAAGAGTGCTACACAACTGGGGACCCTCCACTGCACTCCTCTCATCACCCGCCTGGCACCTACTTCCAGATCCCACTGCAGGGTTGCACAGAGAAGGGGGCACTAGTGTTTTCGGCGAAGACACGATCAAGAATATGCACTTGCTGCGAGTCGAGCGTGGCATCAAGTGGATTGAGGGGTTTCCTACTCCTCAAATCCCAGCAGAGGACCAGCCAGATGTTCCTGCGGATGAGGCCACTGAGGACGCCCACCCCGAGGATGTGGATGATGCTGATGCCCCCGCCCGACCACCTTCGATTACGGGGGTAGCAGTTCCACCTTCCCATCCCAGGACTACTTCACTCACTAGTTCCAGCAGTTGAGCCTCCAGAATCAGCAACTCCTCGACCATCATCTCTAGTTCTAGCAGTAGTACTCGGCTCACCAGGCCGAGTATCAGACCCGGATGGTTGCTTATAATGAGCGCCTTGACCATATGGAGACCCAGCAGGGGGTGGCCCTTGCTCACATCGAGAGGGAGCGGGCCCGATCTTGGCGTATGCAGGAGGTCCAGCAGCACCTGCTCCAGCTGATACCGGGCGAGCAGCCGGTCTGGAGGACTCCCTGGGAGGACTCTCCCCTTCCACCCCCGACCGCCGGAGATGATGCCTTTATGAACGACATCGACTTTGACAACCTTGGCGATGAGTAGTCTGTACTCGTCGCCCCTCCGAGTGTGTTTTGTTTAAGACTTTTCGTGTTTGCTCCATGTGTGTGCGGAGCTTGAACTCAGTCTGTCGTTTGTTTTTGTACTTTTTTTTTTCTTTTGTGGATTGTCTATTCTGTGGCCATCTGGGCGAACTCTGATACCTAACTCACAGTGTGCTAGTGTGTTCTTGATGTTCCCTTCGTGCAGAACTATTCCGTTTGTTCCATATGTTCCCCGCTGGCTGGTCCACTTCCAGTCCCCGACAGTCCTTCCTTCCGGTAACATCTTTCCCCTTCTCTTTCCCTCTGCTCCATTGAGGGCAATGTCGTGCTTAGGTGTGTGTGTGTGGGGGGGGGGGGGGGTGCTTTGTATCGATTGGAATCTATATATGTGTGCTTGGAGCCTAGTTCGCTGTCTGAATCTTGAGATTTGAGGGCTCAAAGTATCGCCGTTTGCATGATCATATTGGCACTGTGATTTGATTAGTGAATCGAATGGTTTTCGATTTATTGCATGACATCTTGATTGTAACTAGGACAACCTATGATGATGACTGGGACGTGCAGTAGAATTGTGTAGGGGTTCAGTTTTTCAACTGTTTGCTTACCAACTGTGACTTGGATTGATCACTTGTTCTTGACATTCGTTTATGCATCTAGTTCAGGGAATCAGAATGAGAGATAGAGAATATAGGTAGCCATGTGAGATTTGAGTCTGCACGTTTCTTTCTTGTGCGATAGATCCCTCTTCCATGATGTGTAGCATTCACGTTGTCATTAGCTAAGATGATGGAGGCATAGGATTAGCCCACGACCAAACTGATTGTCCTGATATGTCATACCCCCTAGTCAGCCCCTTTGAGCCGTGTGTTATCCTTTCTTTCGGTCTATAATGAAAAATCACCCTTTTGCATCTCTTAGAAGGTTCCACAGAGTGGTTTTTACATGTTCTCTGATGTTTCTGCTAAATATAATGTGAGGGTTGGAGGTAGTTCTTAAAAAGTTGGGCATGTGTTTGAAAAATGTGCATAGGTGGTGGTTCTCTCAAGAAATGAAGAAAAAAAATGAATGAAAGCAAAAGAGAGCCACCACCACAAAAATCTGAATAGTGCCCATTAAGTAGTGTTTCTTAGCAGTCTGGCTTGGAAGTACTAACATTTATGTGACCTCCTTCGCTCTTGTGCTCTAGAGAATGTTAGTAATGCAGAATGGCAGAAAGAAAGTAAGTGGTTTGATTGACTATGATTGTGTTGGGTTGGGAATTGTGGAACCTTGTGCTATGACTACTTCCACCACCTAAAAGGCCTTTTCCCCATGTCCAAGACCCTTGCTTGTCATTTGAACCTGTGTCTAAGACCTCCGGATTAGTTAGTGATGACACCCATTTATGTGAACTCTAACCTTTAGAGGCTGCCTTCATGGTGAAGAGACGTTAGGGATTGAGAGAATAAGCATGCGAATTTTTCGCATCAAATTGTCCTGACCCCACTGGTCGAGAGTGAGCGATCATTTTCTCATATTCTCTACACTCTTTTACCCCGGTGAGGACCTAGATTGCTCGGTCTCAATTCTGAAATCTTGAGCTTTGTGCATGAGGTGACTGTCTTGAGTAAGTGGTTGAGTCAAGTCTATGTTGGTTGATGAACAGAAGGGGGACTCCTCCTTTACTCGATTTTGCTGCACTCTAATGTCCTCTGTGGTGGTTGTCCAGGTTGCTATTGAAGTTGTTCATGTGTTGATGTTTGAAAGCCAGTACGATTCACGTGTTCTGTGCCTATATGAATTGTCCCCAATTTTGGTATGATTGAAATATGCTGAGCTTACCTTGTATCTGACTTGGTTTGCTTCGGGACAAGCAAACGGTTAAGTGTGGGGGAATTTGATGACTTGATATATACACGTGTTTTTGTCCACCATTCTTACACCGTTTGAGTCTTATCTCTCATGTATTAGGCCGATTTCACGATACGTTGTTCTTGTTTGTGATATTTCAGGTCCTAGTACGTGAATGAAGGTTTGGGAACGAGTTCGGGGTCGATTGGACGAAGAGTGGACATTTGGCGAGAAGCTGCGGATGACACACGAGCACGCCTAAAAACCCACACGGCCGTGTGACCTGGCTGTGTGACATCAAACTGCACGGGCAAGCCACACTGGCCGTGTAGGGGACCCCTTGTGGCCGTGTGGAAAGTCCAGGGAGCTCACACGGACAGCCTGGAAATCCACACGGCCGTGTGGTTTTGGTCGTGTAGCATACCCGAAGCCACTTAAGTGAAACGCGGCATTTTGCACGCTCACACGGGCAGCTGGGAAAGCCACACGACCGTGTGGTCGGGAATTTCTGGGTTTTAACCCAAATTCGAGCCAAAGGAGAGGGAATTGACATTTTGGAGCAAAAACAGAGCCCTAGAGAGAGAAAGTGCGAAGAACACCCCCTAAGAGTGGTTTTGGAGCTAGGTTTCATCAATCAAGCTTGGAAATCATCCTTGGAGTGAAGATCATCATCCCAGAGCATATTCTTCGCATCTTGATGATTATGACTGCTTTGTTTTCTGTTTCCCTCTCTCTCTATGGAGTAGAACTCTCTCTAACTTGGGTATGAAGAACCCTAGTTCCATGTGTTAGGAATCTTGATTGTAATTATGTTTGGATAGTGATATTGCTTGATTATAATCGATTGAAGTGTTTTGAATGAGTCAATTGAATTCTGATCATCTTTTATTGATTTATGCTGCAACCTGAGATAGATAGAATCTGATTAGGTTGTTAGAGCTTCTTCAATCGGTAGTAGTGAATCGATTATACGAGAGTTAGTCGATTCACTGCTTTGTACTGAAATCTAATTCTAGTAGTGGAGTTCTCTGTTCATTGCCTCAGCGTTCTATCCCGGTGAAGACTAGTCGTCTGCCGGATAGTTTGACTGAGAGGGCTTGGTCAGCTTAAGAGATTCAAATCTACTGTCGGATCTTCCGTAGTATAATCAGCAGTAAAGAAACCAAAAGTAATTACAACTGTGACCTAACTAAGGAGCTAGGGGGACTCATTCCCGAGTGACTCTTCCTTTGCTTTAGAAAACCGAACCATTTCCTGCTTTCTTACTGCTTTTACTTAAATCAACAATCACTCAACTTAGTTTGCTAGATAACAGATATACACGGAGTAGGAAGTAGATCTAGACCCTAGGTTGACAATTAGAGGTTGCCTGTTACTGCATTTCCGGACTGCGATTACACTTGGTTGCAGTTTGGTGTTGTGTTTTAGCGTGTCAGTATCCTAGATACAAGATTGATTGATTTGGGATATTATGGGTCAGCTTTTACATGGTTTCACGCAGGAATGAAGGAACGACTCGATCGAGGACTAGTGAATCTCAGTTGGCAGAACAGCTTCCCGGACAGCTCTGTTCAACATCTGCCCAAGATAAGGTCGGACCATCGCGCTATATTGATACATTTAAACCCCCACCATCCACCGGCAGGGCCGAACCCCTTTAAATTCTTGGCGGCGTGGTTACTTCATGACACTTTCAAGGAAATGACGGAACAAGCTCTGCTACAAGGTACTGACCTTCGAAGCTTGATTAAAGCCTTCACCAAGGAAGCTCGCCATTGGAATAAACACACGTTCCAGCATATTATTAGAAGGAAGGATAAGCTCCAAGAAAATATTGAAAGGCTAGAATTGGCAGGGGGTGGGGACTCCTCCTCGGCTACCATGAAGAACTATAGACAAGAGGTGGAAGATGTCCTCCTACAAGAAGAAGTTTTATGGTGCCAGAAATCTCGTCTAGATTGAATTCCGCAATGTGACAGGAATACTAAATATTTTCACCTTCGTACGATTCAAGGAAGGAAGAGAAATAGAATTACTACGCTGCGAGATGAAGCAGGCAACTGGATAGTGGACAACGAACTCCTTCAGAATATGGCGAGGGCTTTCTTTCAATGCTTGTATACTGACGAAGGTGGCCCTAATCTGGTTCTCGCCACGGCTTTTCCTCCCTTGCGGCAGAATATTGGGGCAGCGTTGCTCAGCCTTTCACTGAGGACGAAATTCACAAAGCTATAATGAGGATGGGTTCATTAAAAGCGTCGGGAACGTTGGTTTGAACCCACTGTTTTACTAGAAGTTTTGGCCACTAGTTGGGCCATGCATAATACAATTTGCTCAGCATTGTTGGAGCAACCCAGCGTAGTTGAAAGAGGTTAATGACACTATTCTTTGCCTAATCCCCAAGATCAACCAGTCCACTTTGATTGAGCAGTTCCGACCTATTAGTTTGTGCAATGTAACATACAAGCTAGTGACAAATACTTGGCTGAAAGACTGAAGACACTGATGCCAAAACTTGTTGACGAAACCCATACGAGCTTCGTCCTAGGTCTCCATATTACTGACAATATCCGTATTTTGTAGGAAGTTGTCCATTCGACGAGGGCTAAAACGAGGTGACGCGGATGGTTCTCAAGGTGGACCTGGCCAAGGCGTATGACCGGATCAGATGGCCTTTTGTACGAGACACTCTTCAGGCGATAGGGGCTTTGATGGAGTTTATTAACCTTGCCATGTTGTGAATTAGGTCAGCCAGCATGCATATTCAATGGAATGGGGGGTTTGATAGAGAGCTTCCTCCCAACTCGGGGTCTTAGGCAGGGATGCCTGCTCTCACCTTATCTCTTCACATTGTGTATGGAGAGGCTAAGCCATATCATCAAAGTTGTTGTTCAAGATGGATCATGGAGACCTATCCGGATCTCAACTACGGGATCAAAACTCTCTCACTCCTTCTTTGACGATGAGCCGATCCTCTTTGGCAAAGCGTCCCTGCAACAAGTTGCCACGATCACAAGATGCTTGGATGAGTTTGGCACCGCATCGGGACAACAGGTGAGCAAACCAAAGTCTCGAGTATTCTTTTCTAAGAATGTATCGGCAACCATCGGAGAAAGTATCTCAAATGTGCTAAATATTCCAAAGACGAAGAATTTGGGACGATATCTTGGCGTACCGGTCATTCATGATAGAGTTTCTAAAGCCACATTTGTTGATCTTATCGATAGAGTGGAGTCTCGATTGTCGGGCTGGAAAGTGGCGACTCTCTCCCTTGCAGGTCGGATCACTCTAGCTCAGTCTGTTCTAGTCTCACTACCAGCTTACACAATGCAAATCAGCTTCCTACCAGCAAGTGTTCGGGAATATATAGATAAGAAAATCCGAGCTTTTATTTGTGGAATCTCAAAGGCAGGGAGGAAAATTCATTTGGTGGATTGGGATATGATATGCCGGCCGAAAGAAGAAGGTGGTCTGAGGGCTCCGCAATGCCACACGAACAAACGAGGCGTTAATGATTAAGATAGCATGGAGACTGCTTACTGAATCGAAGAGGTTATGAGCTCGGGTAATCCATGCGAAATACATGAGAAGAACTGCGAAAGGGTGGCAACCGCGAGTTCAAGGCCACATGTCGAACCTATTGAGAGGAGTAATGCGAGTTATGCATCTGCTGTCGGAAGCAATCATGTGGAACATTAAAGACGGGCAAAAAGCATGTTTTTGGAGTGATCGTTGGCTCCAAGATAGCCCAACACTATGGGAGCTAGCAGTCGACTTACCTGCAGAGGCAAAGTCTATTACGGTGGCGGAAATGACACTAAATGGGGAGTGTAATACCCAATATATCCAAGCCTTCCTTCCCAATGACTTTGTGTAGCAAGTGCTACTGCATCCTGTGCCATACGAGGTGGGGAATGATGTCCCACTGTGGAGATTTACATCTAATGGTCAGTTCTTTCTCAAGACGGCTTACGAGTTGACAGACGAGGAAGAGAGGCCGGACGGTGCACACCCTATATGGCAGGCAGTCTGGCGTGCTCCCATAATGCAAAGAGTAAGGACATTCTTTTGGCTTGTGACTCGCCAAAGAGTGCTTACAAATAGCGAGCGCCAACGCCGACATCTCACAATAGATGCCTAGTGCCCCCCTTTGCGGGACGGATGAGGAAACAACGCTTCATGTTATACGTGATTGCCCATTTGCTCGATCAGTGTGGGCTGAGATGTTAGCGGATGAATCGGATGAAGATTTCTTCCAACCGGAGCTCAATAGGTGGTTGCTACACTACCTCGTAGGGCATAGCTCGACCGTTGACCCCTCTTGATTTGCCATTATGTGTTAGCAACTATGGAAGAACAGTAATAAGTTGGTGTTTAAAAAGAAGCTGAAGCCAACCTCTAGCCTGTACCAACATGTGGAGTCACTACAACAACATGTCAAAGAGGCTATGGCAAAGTCAGTGAAGATCTTTGGATCTGGTGGGCAACCCACGAGTTGCTCATAGCGTGGAAACCGCCCCCGTCGGGGTGGACTTGTCTTAATGTTGATGGCTCGGTAATTGTAGGGAATGTGGCAGAGGGAGGATTACTACGGGAGACTGATGGACGTCTGCTGAAAGTAGGGATGGCAATGGGTCAGGTTGGGTCGGGTTGGGTCAAACCCAAACCCAAACCCATGGGTTTATCCGCCAAAAAACCCGGGGTAAAACCCGTTGGGTTTGAAAAACTCAAACCCAACCCAACCCGCTGGGTATCCGCGGGTTCATGGGTACCCGTGGGTTTTTGTGGTAAACATTTACAATAACAAGTTTCTTTCAAAATAAAAGTTTAACATCAATTTTCTCATACAAATTAATCATACAAAAAACACCAATCTAGAGCATACAAGCAAAGCGCAAATGATGCATGTTTCCTTGCCCGATGCTCAGGCATTGGCTGATTTGATTGGGGTTCAACAACCCCGAAGGGTTAGTATGAATTAAAGGTGGAGCGCTCCCACAAAAAAAAAATTCCAAAGCCATTCATACACCATATGTGGAAAAAGCTATGCTTTTAGAGCCGGAGCGAAGGCTAAACCAAAAAAGTTAGTGGTTAACTGTTACAAAAATCGTTGGTAAACCGTTATTAGAACCGTTCATGATATATAACATATAAGACTTGTATATTACACTAATTTAAAAATGATGTTATCATTGAATATAAATAATTTCAAATTCATATCATCACCAATATATCTAATAAATCATTCAAATCATCTCACAAAAGAAATCATAATTTTTTTAATTCAAGTTAAAAATTATGGGGCCAATTGGTAGTGGACCACATAAAAACGGCAACAAGGTTGGAAAATGAGTAGAAGAAGCATATATAAAATAAATAATCATGACTAAATTATCTTAGTTTACGTTAAAGTATTTTCTTAAAAATATTTATGGTTAAAATAGTGAACCAGTGAACTAGTTAAACCGTGGTGGTTCATATGGTTTTATATTGAATCGTGAAAAACCGTTTGGTCCATTAATAATCGTCCAAGCACTAAACCGGACCGTTATTATAACTGATTTGCCGATTCTACTGGCCCAACCGTTGATCTGGTTCGGTTCTTATAACAATGGGAAAAAGCAACTTTGTACAAGTTGCGTCGTTAGTACTTAGCACAAACTTTTTACTAATTAAATTCATAGAGTAATACGAAATTATGAGAAGAAATAAACTATGTACATAAATACAATATGATTTGCAAGATTATTTAATAACATGCTTGAAAAAGTAAGGATTGAAAAACTGTATCGTACTAGCGGCTCGATAAAAAAAAAAACTTCCTACCACAAACAAAATCGATATAAAGTATTTAGTGATATTTGAAACACAATTAAATCACAATTCCAACATAAAATACTCTTCGGTACACTTTTCTAACACAACTTCCGATATTATTTTTCAATTCTTCAAAAAAAGTAACAATCCTTCACATTTTCTTCATTTAAACTTCGTACGGTAACTTCATCAATACAGTCATTTTTATACGGACAAAAAGGAAAAAGCATTTCTTTAATTCCATTTCTTTATTGTGAGCCTCAAGATTCCTCTGTATAAAATGCCTCTTCTTCTTTCTCCTCCTCCTCCTCCTCCTCCCATTTCATATCTCCCTCTTTCCGCAGAAATCCCTTGCTCTTGCTCTTTACCCCCCTCCTCCTCCTTCTCCATCGCCATTCTCAAGATCCACTGAAATCCGTCCTTGCTTTTATCCCCCACCCCATCTCGCAGCCAAACAACCAATCAATCACGAGAAGAGATGAAATCTCGGCGCCTATTGCCGGACAGATCCTGGATCCTCGCCGTGGTAATGGCCGGCCTGGTCTTCGCCGGGGTCCTAATCGGAAGCTTCATCCGCTCCACCGACAACTCCTTCATCTGCTCCCTCGCAAGCAAGAAGTTCCGCGCCGCCGCCGAGTACGCCTCCACACCGGCCCAGCTCCAGGCAATCGTCCACTACGCCACCTCCCGGACCACGCCGCAGCAGAACATCGACGAGATCTCCATAACCCTCGACGTCTTCCGCAGCCGCTCTTTCGCCCCTGCCAATTTCCTCGTCTTTGGCCTCGGATTCGATTCCCTGATGTGGAGCGCTCTCAACCCTAAGGGGAAAACCATCTTCCTCGAAGAAGATCCCTCCTGGGTGAAATCCGTGCTCAAGGACGCGCCCTTGCTCCACGCGCACACCGTCCAGTACCGCACCCAGCTCAAGGAAGCCGACGGCCTCCTCAATTCGTACAGGAAGGAGCCGATGTGCTCCCCGGCGAAGGCCTCTCTCGACGGCAACTACGCCTGCCCGCTGGCCCTGACCGGGCTGCCCGACGAGGTGTACTCTACGGAGTGGGACCTGATCATGATCGACGCGCCGCGTGGGTATTTCCCCGAGGCGCCGGGGAGGATGGCCGCGATATTCTCCGCGGCGGTGATGGCGAGGGCGAGGAAAGGACCCGGCGTGACGCACGTGTTTTTACACGATGTGGATCGGAAGGTGGAGAAGACGTTTGCGGAGGAGTTCCTGTGCCGGAAGTACCTGGTGAAGGGCGTCGGGCGGCTGTGGCATTTTGAGATCCCGCCGGCGGCGAATATGACCGGACAGGACGAAAACTCGTGGTTTTGTTAGAAGCGGAAAGGACAACGATACCGTTTTGTCGTTAACCCCGGCGGATATTAAGATTTTTGTGTGTGCATTTATTAATTATATTTATTATCCTCTCTGGGTTCCGCCCGCAGATCTAGTTTAGTGATAGTAATTAAAGTTTCTGAAAGGTGGATGTGAGACAGTGCACACAGGTCAGATATTATTTACTAGTAATAATTAATTAATATATTTCCCTATTTACATTTTCAAGCTTTGGGTGGAGTTTTTATTTTCAACGGGAAAATGAGGAAGGAAAAAAAGAAAAAGAAAAAGAAAGATGAGAATTTGAATAATAAAATACTTCTTTAGTTTGTCCCTCCATTTTTAGACAAATAAGAAGATAATAGATATGGCAGTCGCAATATGATTATTCAACATGTTAAAATGTCGTTTCTTTGAGAAGTCATCAAATTTGGATGCTCACTTTTTTTTGGGTTGAGCAACAAGAGTTTGTTATAACCATATATTTAGGAAAGAAAAAGAAAATGCAATGAGACATGGTATGGTATGTATTTAGGAAAGAAAAAGAAAAGACATGGTATGGTTCGCCACGTTGCAGAGTTGTAACGAGTCTAATTTGGGCCGCCGTACAAGACTTTTCAAAAAAATCATGATGACGGGCGGTGGATATTTGAAAAGTTGATATTGTTGTTATTAAATTGGGGATCTGGGGGGGCGGAGGAGAGAGATTGAAGAAAAAGAACGCAATGCAATTGCAAATGCAATGGGTGTGAAGTGGAGCAATGGCGGAGTGCCAATTCCACACCGTCGTCGTTTGCGGAGACAGACAGGTGTAGCGCTGCCAAAGGTTGATATATTCCTGCGCTGGGCTGGGCCTGACATGATTTATTTCGTGAGAGTCCACTTGTGTCCCCCATCCCATTCCGCAATAGAATAAAATTATGGGGTTTGGCATTAACAATTGTTTTTTTTCCTCCATTGTGGATGATGATAATTGGAGTACGACGTGGTTGGTTACAATACGCTCGAAAACGGTGTGATCTGGTTCAAATCGGACCATATATACAGTTTACGGTTCATATCGAAAGGTTGGACCACAAATTAGATCACAAACTATATGATCAAGATCAGACCATATTTGTGCGATCTGGTCCGGTACGGTGTGACCTAGATAGACCACACTGTACGAAAAATGAACAAGTTTATTAGTCTAATTACACAAAATATTGAAGGTCGTTTGGATGGAGTATTTGTATGAGTTATTTGGGTTCAAATAACTCGCAATGAGTTATTTGAACACAAATAACTCGTTTGGTAGTGTTTTACTGAATGAGTTATTTGGACAGTGAGTTATTTACAAATAACACAAAACACGTTATTTGAAATAACTCATACCCATGTGTTATTTCAAAATAATTAATTTTGCCACTCTACTTTTATCAAATACCACATGTAAAATACCACATTTGCATGGTTAAACCAAACGAGATACTTTATTTTAATTACCAGTAAAATACCATATGAACAATAAATAAGTTATTTGACTCCACAAATACCACATTGACAATTAATTCATCCAAACGATACTAAATTATGGATTTTTGCAATAACAATGACTTCTTTTGTTCATTGTGTTTGAACGTGGTGAATAACATAAGAATGAATGAATAAATGAATGCTAATGATGAAGACCTGTAATGTTAATTTCCATGGATGAGAAGATTGAAGGGGATGAAGAGGAAGTTCAGCTCCAGCAGAATCAAGATGCAGAAAAACAGCTTTGGGTCAAAACGGGAAGCAATAAAAAATCCAGACCGAGCTAACAAGAAAACTATGCGGTTAGGGATGGCAAAAATATCCGTAACCGTAGATATCCGCGCAAATTCGATCTAGTTGGGTAGGGTAAAACTCAAACCCGAAGGACTTTTAGTGGGTATGGGTAAAACTCGAACTCGAAAATTGCGGTTAATGGGTGGTCATGGTTTCCTCACTATCCAACCCGAACCCCGCTCGATTATACACATGCATATGTATTTTGTATAGAATTAATCATTATTTTTTTCAAACATATTTTTCTAATAAGCATAGTATTTTCATGAAATTGTGTTGCTTTAATTAATTTTATTCATTCTAGTGAATTATTGTCGTACTTTTCCTCTAATGTAACATGAAAATACGTATTACTGTTAGCATATTGGTTGAAGTTATAAAGAGAAATTGAAATACCCTAACTCGGCCGGGTACTAATTTTACCAAAATGCCCTTGATGACTCATAAACCAAAATAAGAAACGAAAGACTTGAAAAAAAGGAAGCTTTCCATAAATAACCATAACAAATACTGAAGTGAACTGAAATCTCTTAAAACAAAGCCCTGACACTTGGGCAAACCTCAACCATAGAATCTTAATCTGAATCTCCCGTCACTACTCATAATCGTAAATCAATAACTAAAACTCTACTTTGTTGTCTGCTCGGATTCGATCTCTGGCACCTCCAGTGACGCTTGTACTATCCTCCTCTAGCTTGCTTGCCTCGAATAGCTTTCTTGATCTCACTGCTCACTAACTGCTCCTCTAGCTGCAACTATCGATTTAGTTCTCGCTTATTTCTTTACTAAGTCATGGTGAGTGAGATGGGGTCAGTCTACGCCCTTACGTTTTAATAAATCTAATACTTGAGTACTTTACTTAAACACTTAACTTTGACTAGTGGAAGTTGTTTGTACTTCCAATCTTAAAATCTTCTTAAACTTTGAGGGAGTTGAAGTTACTCTCCTCTCTTAAAGCTCAAATCTTGACTTAAATACTTGACTGACACGGGGATCCCTCACTTGCTAGTCCGATTGCCAACTCATACGTATGAGAAGCCATCCAGGCTTTCCTTAAACTTAAACTTAGTTAGGGAAGTCATATCGATTCATCCCCCTAACATCTTAAACTTATCGTGGTGGCTCTTCACCACGATTCTCAAGAGCATAACTACTGCTCATCTTAAAAGTCTCAAGAGCATAACTGCTGCTCTATCTCAAAATGTCTCAAAAGGCAACAGACTGGTGCTAGTGACTAAAAACACTTAAAACGACTTCACCTTCTTGAAGGTGAGTTACTTCTTTAAAAAGAATTGTTTCTTAAACTTCAACAATAACTTATACTCATAAAAAGTTCAAAGTAAATAATAACCATTCACTTCAAGCATAGCTCAAACAAAATCACATATCATCAACCATAAGCACAATCAACAAAGACAATCACCTTATCAAAATACTTAAAGCTCGTAATACTTGAAAGAATACGTAAGGCGTAGAAGTTACCCCCTTTACACTCACTTCGAAATCTTCAAAACCAACTCTTATTCTGCTCTTAAATTCCATGAATCACTCCCATTAAATTCTCCTTGTGCTCACGATTCCATAGGCACCGACGGTTCCTCGTTTGGACTTCAATTGATCGAGTTATGACCAAAATAAACAATCTGTCAGTTTAAAAGTACCAGGTACCGAAATTGAAAATTTTCCAGTCAACAAAGTTGACCACGACCCCTCTGTAAAATTTCCGAAATAATCCACCAACTTTCCGAATTTCCATAATGGTACCTGAACTTTACAGTTTTTAATCCAAACCTTAGATGCTCGTTTCTCCCTCATCCGACGTCAGAATCCGATTTCGTCGACACGGTGGCGATCCTGGTTTCTTCCTCTTTGTATTGGTACACTCCAATCGAAAAATACTTGTACTTGAGTTTTCTGGTTTTTCTGGCGAGTTACGAGGAAGTCTCAGCGAAGGTCCGACGAGACCTCTAACTACCTCGAAATTGATTCTAACTCCGAGGAACGGTTCCTTACCTTCTCTCGAGCAACACCCAATGAACATAATCATTTATTTCCCCCTCTTTCTAATGGAGGATGACGTCGTGCCGCTACTTTCTTCCCATCGCGCTTTGCTTCCGTCTCTGCTGCTGTTCCCGTTGAGCGGCCGCTACTCCTGTCGGGTGGAGGAACGAGATGGGAGGGAGATTGGCGGTCGAGCTTGGTCGACGGGAAGAGGGATGGCCAGACGCCTTCGTCGAGCGGCTGGGAATTGATCAAAGTTTGGCGTCTGTCGGGCTGGCTGCGGCGCTGGCGAGAATGGAAGGCAACGGGAGATGATGGACTACACGACTGCTTGTTCTGCTCATGGTAAGGAGGGACTGAGTTGGGGAAATAATTGGGAGAGTGGCAATAGGATTCCTATTGTTTCTCTCAGTTACGTGGGCAATTAAAATGAAAGGAAGAGCAATTAACGAAAGTGAAATAAAGAGACCGATGAAGAGAGGGAAATGGGGTAACGTAAAGTGGTTAGGGTTTTGATTTTTTTTTCTTTCTTCCTTTTTGGTGGTAACGTGGTGTGAAAGATGGAGATGATGATAATAATTATGGCCCCAATGATAATTATTGCGATAATAATAATAATAATCATAATTATTATTATTCTCTAATTCACGGTTGCACCCACTTGTACGTAATCGTCCATCTAACCGTTTATTTATTTTGGTCAAACCTGAACCCAAATATCAGGGTGTTACATTTCCTCCACCTTTTTAAAAAATTTCGTCCTCGAAATTTGCTTGAAACTCATTCCTCTATCCACACCGTCCTTGCGCATCCTCTACTCAAGAGAAGAATTTTATTCTCTCGATGTGAACTTCAATGTTGCCCGTTGTTTTTCCCGCATAATTTACTTCACTTCTTATATTTCCTCTTGATTATAAAATATATTCTCCCAAACTCGTTAGCACCGAGTAGCTTGGCGTGACTACTTCTCCTCTTTAATTCCCTCGCTCGGTTGATGGAACGAAATCTCGATTCAAGTTATTGGTCTATCTCATTCAGTACTTGGTGTTGGACCTTAAATTGAAATTGAGATATCACATTTCCTCCTCCCATAAGAAAAATTTCGACCTCGAAATTTGTCCCCTTGCGACTTCTCCAAGCTTCATACTTCAGATTGTCTATCTCGATGCTTGAATCCTTCACTACTTTGCTTCAGTGCCCTTGGCGTTGCTTACAGCCTAGCCTCCCACTGCTCCTTGGTTTGTAGCCCTACGTTCGATTTTCGTGAATTCGACGAACCGTCCTTGCCTCCTTTACTCGAGATGATTGCCACCATTCGTCGTAACTTATTGGCTACTGCCTGCAGATGTACAAGATACTTGGCATCTTCTTGAACCTTATTCTGATCAGCTCGCATCCCTGTAGAATATGAGCTGCCACTTCTCATGTGGGGAGGAAATGCTCCTCTTGAACCCCAGGGTTACATATGGAGGCTTATCCTCTATCCCATCAGATGGTAAAATTCCTTTAACGTAACTCTCGTCCGGAGTTGACCTCATAGGTCACCTATGTCCTAGTATTTCCTAACTCTGCATCTATTACTTTCTTCCTCAATGCCTCGTCTTATCCCTTAACCATAAACTGAATGGTCACCTCCTCGTTACTTGCTGCTTAGTGTTGGAACCTCATACTACTGTTTCTACTTCCTGTATTCATTAGAGGCATCCTTTGCGTCTTTCTCTAGCTTGCAATCAACTTTATGAATCCTTTCCAGAATCATGACCTTCCATTTTGCGTACTTGCTCACTCCTGGCACCTAACTTAACACTTCCTTATCATCGTTTGACTCGGGATTCTCGTACTATCCCTTTTATCGTTCTTAGGTCTTGGCTGAAATTCCTCGTACAGCTTCCCCGTCCAAGAAATTTACACCCGAGAGATTGACACCTTTCACCAGCATAGGCGATCCTGGTTTCACTTTGGGGTATTCTAGCAAGTTACCTAAACTTATATCCCTCTTACTTTGTTACTCGTGAATCTTCTTCTTGATGTTACTCACTAGTTCTAGATGATGTCCTTATTCTCGATGTAGTCATCTAGGTTGTCATATTCTCTTCTTACTAATGTACCTTGAGTCCTTGACTTATAAAGTTCACCCTTTCACTATTCTTAACGACCACGATTCCACCTTACTTTCTTGATGGACTTCCTATGGACTGATTGTTCTATACTGGTAATCAACCTAATGCTTTCTTGTTGTTTGTTATACTCCTGCTTCTGTCCGTCCTAGCTATCTTCCTTGACGCATACATCGCACGGTCAACGACCACCGTTTTGTTTCTGTACCGTCCAATGGTGTTCTCCTTGCTTCTTTACTTTTACTACTCTTCCGTTGTTGCTTTGTATTATATTTGGTCACGAAACTCCGTTGAGTATCTTCTCGTTATTGTTTGGTTCAAAGCTTCCAATAGAGGATTTCCCTGGGTAGGCTTTAACGTACCTCCTTCACTTCATTTGTCTCGATTGATGCCTGCATATGGCCTTAATCTCATAGTCTGGGTTCTTAGTGGCTTAACTGAACATGTCTTACTTATCATTAACAAGCCGCTTCTTTTGGTTGACATCCCACTATGCCGCTCCCACTCGGAGTGGGGCACCTTGGGTAAGGTAACTTAATGATTTCCTCCTTCTTGGTACTCCAATGCTTTTCCTCGTCGTACTCCACTACACATTTTCTTGAACCTGAGTCACCTACTCATATTCTCAATCATTCATTGGAACTTCCATGTGCTTCCTCGAATTCTCTGCCATTCACTAGAACATTTATTGAACGTTCCACATACTTGTCTATACTCGGTTGGCTTAATGACTTACTCTATAGCTAGTTTCGAGACTTCAGCTATTAGCCCTCTAGTTCGAAATTAGTAGAGAGGTTCCTCCTTCTGTCACCCCTCATGTACCCTAGGCGGCTAGGTGCTCCCTCGATTTAGGAGAGGACAATCCCATAACAGATCATCGTGAACTCTTGCATTCCCCTTCCAACGGTCCCAACGAACTCCCCCTCTTTCTAGCTCGACATTGTTCACTAACACATTGTTATTCTTGATCCAAGATCGTTCTCTAACTCGATTATCTTGACGCTTGTCTTGTTCCTTTTAAATGCTTGCTACCAGCCTAACTCCCCAGGGTCATGTACCGTCTTCTCTAGCGACGTACTTTATCTTTAAGGGTTCATTTGTCGTCATATGTAAATGACCATGCCTCCTCTTCGCCTTGACCTATTAACTTCTTGACGTCCTTTCGTACTCCATATAATCTACTTATTCCCTCATTTGATTCATTTATACTACCCGAGCTTTTCTTAGAGTCTAAGCTCTCCACTGGTCCTTGTCACTGTGTTGTAATAGCGTCGAGCCGTCGACCACTAAAACTAGTTGAGGGACTTCTCATTGTACCTCTTCATTTCTTGACTCGTTGCCACCTCGCAACTGCTTAAGGTCAAGGATCCTGAAATCATCCCTTCATTATAGCCACTGTCATCTAGTGATTGTAACTCTTTCTTCGGAGATTCATAGTTCTCCTATTTGTTTATCTTAACCTATTAGATTGTTTGCTAGTGGCTAATTAGAAAAATCCTCGTAGTGCTCCTTCAACTCCTTCAAATCCTTGTACTTATACCTCGGAATATCCCATTGCAATTGGCGCACCTTTTATTAGGACTAAAGTTATTTATCTTAATACGATTAGAATAGACTGGAGATTCTATAGACTCTTAAAAGAACATCCTTGACTCATTTTTGATTCCTTTAAAACAAAACCTTTAAAAACCGAGACCGACATTCCAGTATTCCTTGTAAACCAAGGAACTGAGGAAAACCATGCTCTGATACCAAAATGAAACACCCTAACCCGACCGGGTACTAATTTTACCAAAATGCCCTTGATGACTCATAAACAAAAATAAGAAACGAAAGACTTGAAAAAAAGGAAGCTTTCCATAAATAACCATAATAAATACTGAATGAACTGAAATCTCTTAAAACAAAGCCCTGACACTTGGGCAAACCTCAATCATAGAATCTTAATCTGAATCTCCCGTCACTACTCATAATCGTAAATCAATAACTAAAAATCTACTTTGTTGTCTGCTCGGATTCGATCTCTGGCACCTCCAGTGAAGCTTGTACTATCCTCCTCTAGCTGGTTTGCCTCCAACAGCTTTCTTGATCTCGCTGCTCACTAACTGCTCCTCTAGCTGCAACTATCGATCTAGTTCTCGCTAATTCCTTTACTAAGTCCTGGTGAGTGAGATGGGGTCAGTCTACGCCTTTACGTTTTAATAACTCTAATACTTGAGTACTTTGCTTAAACACTTAACTTTGACTAGTGGAAGTTGTTTGTACTTCCAATCTTAAAATCTTAACTCTTAAACCTTGAGGGAGTTGAAGTTACTCTCCTCTCTTAAAGCTCAAATCTTGACTTAAATACTTGACTGACACGGGGATCCCTCACTAGCTAGTCCGGTTGCCAACTCATACGTATGAGAAGCCATCTAGGCTTTCATTAAACTTAAACTTAGTTAGGGAAGTCGTAACGATTCATCCCCCTAACATCTTAAACTTATCGTGGTGGCTCTTCACCACGATTCTCAAGAGCATAACTACTACTCATCTTAAAAGTCTCAAGAGCATAACTGCTGCTCTATCTCAAAATGTCTCAAAAGGCAACAGACTGGTGCTAGTGACTAAAAACACTTAAAACGACTTCACCTTCTTGAAGGTGAGTTACTTCTTTAAAAAGAACTTGTTTCTTAAACTTCAATAATAACTTATACTCATAAAAATTTCAAAGTAAATAATAACCATTCACTTCAAGCATAGCTCAAACAAAATCACATATCATCAACCATAAGCACAATCAACAACGACAATCACCTTATCAAAATACTTAAAGCTCGTAATACTTGAAAGAACACGTAAGGCGTAGAAGTTACCCCCTTTACACTCACCTCGAAATCTTCGAAACCAACTCTGATTCTGCTCTTAAATTCCATGACTCACTCCCATTAAATTCTCCTTGTGCTCACGATTCCATAGGCACCGACGTTTCCTCGTTTGGACTTCAATTGATTGAGTTATGACCAAAATAAACATTCTATCAGTTTAAAGTACCAGGTACCGAAATTGAAAATTTTCCAGTCAACAAAGTTGACCACGACCCCTCTGTAAAATTTCCGAAACAATCCACCAACTTTCCGAATTGTCCATAATGGTACCTGAACTTGACAGTTTTTAATCCAACCCTTAGATGCTCGTTTCTCCCTCATCCGACGTCAGAATCCGATTTCGTCGACACGGTGACGATCCTGGTTTCGTCCTCTTTGTATTGGTAGCCTCCAATCGAAAAATACTTGTACTTGAGTTTTCTGGTTTTTCTGGCGAGTTACGAGGAAGTCCCGGCGAAGGTCCGACGAGACCTCTAACTACCTCGAAATTTGATTCTAACTCCGAGGAACGGTTCCTTACCTTCTCTCGAGCAACACCCAATGACCATAATCATTTATTTCCATCTCTTTCTAATGGCGGATGACGTCGTGTCGCTACTTTCTTCCCATCGCGCTTTGCTTCCATCTTCGCTGCTGTTCCCGTTGAGCGGCCGCTACTCCTGTCGGGCGGAGGAACGAGATGGGAGGGAGATTGCGGTCGAGCTTGGTCGACGGGAAGAGGGATGGCCAGACGCCTTCGTCGAGCGGCCGGGAATTGATCGAAGTTTGGCGTCTGTCGGGCTGGCTGCGGCGCTGGCGAGGATGGAAGGCAACGGGAGATGATGGACGACACGATTGCTTGTTCTGCTCATGGTAAGGAGGAAATGAGTTGGGGAAATAATTGGGAAAGTGGCAATAGGATTCCTATTGCTTCTCTCAGTTACGTGGGCAATTAATGTGGGCAATTAAAATGAAAGGAAGAATAAGTAACGGAAGTGAAATAAAGAGACCGATGGAGAGAGTGAAATGGTGTAATCGTAAAGTAGTTAGGGTTTTGATTTTTTTTCTTTCTTCCTTTTTGGTGGTAACGTGGTGTGAATCTACAAAAGATATAAAGGAGATTCATGGGTTGGGATTGCAGCATTTTGAATTTCCAGCCCTTAGAGCACTTCACGGATGGGCATTATTGTAATTCCCATGGAATTAAATGAGGCTGTGCGTTTTGCACCTTCCTCCGCCCAGCAACTTGACCGACCAACATCTGGGCCAGGCCTCCTCTTATGTTCCAATATAGGGGCCTGATATGTAACTCAATGTGGGCCAGGCTTATCTCCAAACCAGCGCCTCATCCCTTCTCTTCGGAATTTGCCATCGTTCTTCCAGTAATGCCGCCCAAACGAAGAGCTGTTCCTGATCACCCAAATGAAGGGTTGTTCTGGTCGACCAAACGCCAAGGAACAAGGTCCGGCTAAATCCAGGTAAGGGGGAATCTTTTGGGCGGCGGTGCTTGATTTAGCCATATTCCTTGGACTTAATTTACTTTATTCCAATACACGCTTTATCTCATATGTCTCCAGGACTGATTTCAATGGAGCCCAATCAAGATAGAGATGTTCATGCCATGCCAGGATTGATTAGGAGGCCTGTTCATCACTCACGACATATATGTATTTGTCACCAATTATGTGTTTTTGACAGTCTTTCATCAATTGTTTTTTTAATTAGGTCTAATACACAAGTTTAAACTTCACTGCCTATATATGTTTTTAACCTTGACTGCCTACATAAGTTTGTCCTCTTCTCTTTATTGTCAGGGTTGATGCGAGCAATCTTTAACCCACCGAGACCTCCGTCCAAAAGACAAACTGATTCTGAACGGGAGCGGCTTAATCAACGTAGCCACCGATCACCGGCTGAACTGTATTAATTTAGTAATCCGTTTTGTTTTTTCTGTTTCGTAATTTCTAAAACATTGATATGACATTTACACAGAGATTATTTCTTTCAACACCCAAGTTCAACATATTAATCGGTTGATAGCTCAATTGCACCGCAAACACCGCCGTATTATCTTGGATAGTCGCTCTGGGCGGATAGTTGCACACAATTCACTGGGTAATTTTTTTATCTATTCAGTCCACTAACTAATCTACTGTCCACAAACTTTAATTTTGTGACAAACCCATTTTATTAAGGGTACATGATTTCCTACTGATGTGTCCATCATGTTTCACTACGTAAATCCACCATTATTTGTTTTCTATCCAGTGCACTAAATATTTTACTAATCACAAACTCTGATTGTTGGAAAAACCAATTTAATTAAGGGTACATTCCTCCATTCTGATGGGTATCATATCATATCTCCTAAAATATGTTTGGTTATTACTTGATGGTGGATTGACTGTTGAGGTCTACTTTTCCAGATTTTACTGTTCCATTCTCACGTTTACGATCAAAACGAGCACGGCTTATGCGGTCAATTGCTTTGTGTCGAAGACGGAGGGTTAATGCTGTTCATAGAGGGTTTTGCCGAACTCATGGTTTGTTTCCGCATTGTTACTATCATTTCTACATCAGTAATGCAAGGTTTTGGAATTGTGTAATGTATGTGCATGTTTTTTTTTGTAGGCTTTCCCGTTGTCGAAGTTTTTACTCTTGGCCAGCCTTCAAGTCTTTGTCAATATTGTTCTGCACTTATGTGGCCACAGGAAAGCACGCTGCATACCAGATCCCACAGTAATCCCGTGTTTCCTTTGTGCTGCAAAGAAGGGAAGGTCAAATTGCCTCCTAGGCGGGAGCCACCTGATTTCTTGAAGGAATTATTACACTCTTCAACACCAAGGAGTCGCCACTTTCGGGAAGCAATCCGTATATACAATGCTATGTTTAGCTTCATTTCTCTAGGTGGGAAGGTCGATCGTGGTATTAATGCTGGTGGTGGGGTGTATGTCTACTCTATAAGTGGTCAGATTTACCACAATATAGGCAGTTTATTACCCGAAGAAGGCCAACCTCCAAAGTTTGCCCAATTATATATTCATGAGTCACGCTCTGAACTTCAGAATCGGTTACAACTATTTCCTGCCGATGACCATTCCAATCCATTGCGTCCAGAAATTGTTCAAGGATTGCAAGATATGTTAGACAACAACAATGTTTTGGTCCAGACCTTTCGAATGGCTAGACAAAGGATGAATGAGGCGGGGGTTCAAGAGGTCAAGATCAAATTGTTTGCCAACCATGCACATGATGGAAGAGAATATGATCTACCTACGGGGAATGATGTAGCAACATTGATTGTTGATGAAACAGGTCAAGATACATTTCAGCCAGATATTATTGTTCAGTACAAGTGCTCTAAGCTGGAGAGAATCAATTTTCACCATCCTTCTTTAATGGCGTTACAATATCCACTCCTATTCCCCTACGGTGAGGATGGATGGCATCCAGGTATACCCTGTATTGACGATGAAGAGAATCTTTGGAATGACAATACTTTGTCTCAATGTGATTACTATGCATATCGACTGCAAACCAGATTTGATCAGTCAAATGCATTACTCCTAACTGGGAAATTGTTTCAGCAGTATGTTGTTAACGCATACGCATTAGTTGAAGCAGAGCGACTTGAATGGATCCGCAATAACCAATCCAAGCTTCGTGCCCATTATGTTAGTGGGTTGCTCAATGCATTTTTGCGTGGTGACTCTGATCTCGATTTGACTGGGAAGCATGTTATTTTGGCTGCTTCTCATACAGGTAGTCCACGGTATAAGTATGAGAACTTTCAAGATGCAATGGCAATTTGTAGGTGGCTGGGATACCCAGATTTATTCATAACATTCACATGCAATGCAAATTGGCCAGAAATCCAATTTATGGTGGACCTGATCAACTCAGATGGTCGGAAAGATATCAATAGATCGGATATTATTGCTAGAGTCTTCAAGCTTAAGTTGCATCAATTAATGTCTGAAATCAAAGATAAGAAATTTTTTGGGCAACAACTGGACGTAACAGCTGCCACCGAATTATTCTCCATCCCCTGTTAATACAAAATACAAATAATTAAACTCACCCGGCCAATGGGCCGGGCCTGGTGCTAGTGATGGAGATGATGATAATAATTATGGCCCCAATGATAATTATGGCGATAATAATAATAATAATAATAATTATTATTCTCTAATTCACTATTGCACCCACTTGTACCCACTTTTACGTAATCGTCCATCTAACAGTTTATTTCTTTTGGTCAAACCTGAAACCAAATATCAGGGTGTTACAAAAATTATTAGCCATGGATAACCGTGGATACCCGAAACGCGAACGGATATGGGTATGGTTTTGATTTTCTACCCGTTTCTTATGTAGGTATGGGTATAGGTATAACCCAAACTACTTTGGGTAGGGTAACAGATATGCACTATCCGCCCCCGACCCAACCCGACCCATTGTCATCCCTACATACCACATCATTTAGTGTACACATAGATTAGTTAAATTGATTATTTTATATATTAAATTTTTATTGTGACACTTGCCCCACACATATAGGACGGAGGGCTCTATGGGCGTGGCTATAATGTACGGTACAGTTAAACTGGCCCGGATGGACCTAGTCTTGGTCCGGTCTTTTTTGGAATATGAGGATCAAAGATGAGATTGGATAGAGCCCGATTTTGAACCAATCCCAATCTATCCGGTCCCTGTCCCAGTCCGATTTTAACGATAAAACTGGAAATCTCCCTTCTCCATAAAACGTGTCCAATTTTTGCACTCTCTCCCTGACCCATCACCTACTCTATCGATTCTTTTATTTCATCACTCTCGCTCCTCCCTCATATTCACTCTCTCTTCATTCTCACTGTCTTTGTTCTCTCAATCTTCCTTCTCCCTGTAGGCGAGCTCCCTTCCGTCCCCGTATCTCATCTCCCGACTCCCACCAAACATAACCAACGCACCCTTTTTGTCACCACCAGACAACCGCTGTTTGCCCCCACCTCGCATCGCTGGTCATCGCAACCAGAACAAAGCTGTGACTGCCCAGATCGTCTCACCCCGTAGCAATCAAAGGATTCGCCGCCTCCTCCACGACATCGCCCAGCCTCACCGTCGATCTGTCACGGCCCCTGAGGGATCTATCTCCGTTTGTCAGTCTCTGGTTCTAGTTCTCGCCAGTCCTACAACCGCCGCCATCTATCAACTCCCTTGTCGCGTCGCGATCATCGTGAATGAGATACGCCACTGCCAGCTCTACCGGCTTTGCCTCACCTGTTTGTGTTTGTTTTGTTTCATCAGGAAGAAAAGGACGTAGATCGGGCGAGGACTAAGGAGAGGAGGAAGTGAATGGTGCCGCTTTGGCGAGGCGAGAGAGGAAATTTTTTAGGGATTGAGTTTCTTTTGGACTTTAGGGGCGGAGAAAGGGATTTGGATTGGGGCGGAGGAAGAGTTTTGGGCTCACTTGTGGGCTTGATTGGGTTAGGTTTAGCTTTGTTGGGCTGGATCCGGTCTCTAATCTGGTTTTTGGTAAAATCGGATAAGACCGGCCTGAACTGTAGCCAGTTTAACCCCAAAACACAGACTGAAGACTGGACTGGGTTAATTCCTATCCGGTATTGGTCCGGTATAAACTTGATTATACGGTCCGGTCACGATTAAACCAAAAAGTCTGGACCAAATAGCCACCCCTACCTGCAACAATCTCTTCCCCTCTATATATTTTGTAGCAGAATCGGCTGAGAATGCAAAAAAACATATTCCGAAAATCCTTTATTGGATTTTCTCTATTTTTCACATGGTATTAGAACCTCTTGCCAATCCTCATTAGGTTATGAAGCTCGTCTTAGGGTTTCACAATGGCAGCGTGACCAACAATGACCAAGTAGTCTTTGATGGCGCCACTCCATCGTTACAATGACCGCCTGTTGACCCTTATACGTCAATCCCAAGATATCATCTCTATCAAACTTGATAGATCTAATACCATGTTTGAAGTATATCAATGAGAATCGTTCTCAAAACCAAGAAGAAACTTGGTTTCATGAATGGAACTTTGCCCATGCCTAATCCAACTAAACTAGACTATGAAGCCTGGAATTAGTGTAGCACCAATGTAGTTGGTTGGATCTTAAACTCTCTTTTTCATAGTTGAATCTATGATAGACAATGCGATTGCTCTAGATCCTTGGAAAGACATCCATGAGAGGTATGGAGAAGCAGACTCAATAAGAGTAGCTCATGCGAGAGCAGAGATTTCCACTTGTAAATAGGGGAATTCATCAGTCACATAATACTCCAATAAGTAGGGTGTTTTTTGGACTAAGTATTTATCATTCAAGTCATTTCCTGTATGTGAATGTGCTTATACACCTCACACTAGCACTTGCAAGATCTATGCTGTTATTAAGGATTCACAAGAACTTGATTACTTTATTGACTTCATAATAAGAGTTAATGATAGCTTTGAAATGATAAAGAATCAACTGCTACTCATGGAACTAATGGTTGTTATTCACACAAGTTATTAAAGGCTTAGGATACTCTAAATTTGTATTTGATTCGGGCCTAATTGTACATGTTTTACCCCCTCCCCCGTTTTCCTTAGGCGTTTGTGGCAATTTCACTCCTAAAAGGGTGATTTACGCTAGGTTTCTCGTGTTTTAGCATGTTTCAGGATTTAACAGGTGAAACCAACCCTGGAGTCGAAAGTTGGACGAAAAGGAGTGAAAACCGGGAGAAGAGGTGAAAAACGGCAAGTTCACGGTTTTCCTTGGATGTTCACAGTCTTGTATTACAGTGCAGAAGAGTTGTTTCCCATGAGCTTCGAGACATCCACAGCATTTTCCAGGGGTTACTGACACTAGGCGAGTTCACGGTCACTAAGACCGTGAACAGGAGCACTGGACCATGAACACGTGCAAGCGAAGCGGTGCATTTTGGTGCCAGCCTTGAGTTCATGGACGCGTTTCAGAGTTCACGGCCGTGAACTGAGCTCGTTCCCTGTTTAAAAGATGAGCTGAAAGGAAGAGAGAAGGGAGAGCCCATTTTGAGTGAGAAAGCCTTCTTTAGATTTTAGAGAGAGAAAGACGAACCAAAGGAGAAGGAGGCTAGAGTTTTGCTCCAAGAGTGGATTTGGGAAGATTCTTCCCAAGAGAAGTTCACCACAAGTGCCAAGAAGATTTCAAGCCTCCTTCTTGATGGTTTCTACCTCTTCCCCTTGTGTTTCTCCCATTTCTAGCATGGAGTAGATTTCTTTTTCACTTGGGTGTTGTGAAACCCTAGCTAGCTACCATGTAGTTTTCTGTTATGTAAATTGAATGATTGTTTATGGGTGTTGTTTAATTCAACGATTGAGGTATTATTCATGTTGATTGTGCATGTTTGTGCTTAGCAATCTAAGGATTTGCATGTTAGTGCTTAGCAATCTAAGGATTGTGCATGCTTGTGCTTAGCAATCTAAGGGTTGTGCATGTTTGTGCTTAGCAATCGAATTAGCCACTTAACCTTGATTAGAGAGGAAAACCCCCTTTCCAAGGGAGACTCAATTGAGTTGGTGTTCCTAGGACTTTTTAAGTCTCATAACTAGGTTAATTTAGGGCAAACCTCAATGTGTGATTAAGCAATTTGGTTAAGCGCAATTGAGCCCTCCAACCCTGGGGTTAAGTGAGGGAGTAAGTCAACCATTGATTGCCCAAACCGAGAGGGCCGAGTGACAGCTTATAATGTATTCCTCGGTTTAGCAATCGTGAGTATGGTCTATGACCATATTTGCATCCCCTAGCAGTTCGCGATCACCTTACCCATATAAATTGTTTAAATTCACATACCATGGTAGTAATTAGGGGGAAGCGACACCCGAGTGATCCTTCTCACAAAAGAGCTTTCAAAACCATTCACTTTTGTCTTGTTTTATTTTAATTAGGAAACTTTTCAACCAAAACCTTGTTGCTAGATAATGATTCGAATGACTGAAGTAGGGGTACACAGACCGGACCAGGTTGATATATAAACATACTTATCCTGTACTACTTGGAACTTAGGCGGGAATTAATTGTGGTATTCGGGACGATTCAAGTTTTTGGCGCCATTGCCAGGGACAACGGTCCATTATCTTGAAAAAGATTTTTGTTGTTAATCTAGCTTTTAATTTCCAGTTTTGAAAGTGTGTGAGCTTTGCTTGTGCTAGACTTGGTGTTGTTTTTTGATTGTGTGTAGGTGGGGCATGACCCGGAGTAACCCGACACCTTTACTACCACTTGACGGGCTCATAAACCGAACTCTCCGGCTCCTAGTAAGGGAGAGAGAGCTAGCGGAGGCAAGGAGAAGAGTTGAAAGAAGGGGACAACAATTGGGTTCCGGTGTGAGTGGAGAAGAAATTGAAGAAGTGGAAGTTGAACCCGTTGTTGGAATAGAAATGGCGGGGAACCAAAGAAAAGATGGAGCCACCCAAGCTCGTTAGCTAAACGATGCGGCAAATGAAGAGGAAGACCCGAGGAAGATGGGTTACTATATGGCCCCACGGTCGGAGGAAATTCAATCGCCAATCCTACACCCTCCAGTGGCGGCAAACAATTTTGAGATCAAGACGGCTATAGTGACTATGATACAGAGCAATGCTTTGTTCCACGGTCTTGAGAGCGAGTCACCAAGAGAGCACGTGCAGAGATTCTTGGAGCTCGCGGGGAGATTGAAAATCAATGGTGTGCCGCCCGAAGCTTTGTAACTAAGGATTTTCCCCTATTTACTTTCGGGGAAAGCACTTAGGTGGCTAAACAATCGCCCACCTCTGTCAATCACCTCATAGGACGACCTCCTCAACAAATTCATGGCTCACTACTGCCCGCCTTCGAAGACGGGCGGAGTGGAGAAAGAAGATTACCCATTTAGAGCAATAAGAGGACGAGACCTTGAGGGACGCTTGGGAGAGGTACTCCGATTATTTTCTTCAATGCCCTCACCATGGGTTTGAAGAACATTTTCGGGTTGAAACTTTCTACGGAGGCCTAATGCAAGAAGACAAAATTCTCGTTGACTCCTTGTGTCAAAGGAAATTGATGAATATGGCTCCGCCACAAGTAACCGAGCTACTTGAAGACATGAACCTTAGGGGGTATGATTGGGGATTGACTAGAAGCGGGAGGAGAAGTAATGATAGAGGAGTGAGAAGCATGGGAGCGAGTGCTCCGCTTGAGGCGAAGTTGGATAAGCTGATAGAGGTAATGCTTGAAGATAAGAGGCAAAGAAAACGACCGGTGATGTCGTGCAACTGGTGTTCGAGCACTAGCCATGAGATGGCGGAGTGCCAGGGAATGAAGGAAGCAAACGCTCTGGAGGAACATGTCAAATTCATGGCAAATGCTAGGGCTAACAACCCGTATAGCAATACTTATAATTCCGGATGGAGGAACCACCCAAATTTTGCTTGGTCATCACCGACTAATCCGAGGGCCCCGGGTTTTCAAGGTGCCACGGGAAATTACCAATCTCGGCCGATCTTCATCCAACAAAGGCCTCAAGTTCAAGGCTCAAGCTTCCAACAACCGTACCAAACACAAGGTGGCCTAGGGTTTCAACAACAACAACAACCACCCGAAAAGATATCTAAGCTTGAATACCTAGTGAACACCTTTGTGAGTACGAGTACCCAAAAGTTCGATAAGATAGAGCAATTTATGGATGTGGCAACTACCAAGTTTACCTCGGTTGAGGCGGGACTCCAAAGCCACCATGCGAGCCTCCAAAGTTTGGAGGTTCAAATCGGCAATCTTGACGGCATCCTCACCGAGAGACCAAAGGGAGCCTTACCTTCCCAAAGCGTGACGAACCCCAAGGATCATGCTGGGGTGAATGCAATTCAAGTGGGGAGTGTGAAGGTGACTCCGGAAGTCGCCACTAAAGAATTGATTGAGAAGGAAGATACCAACCCAAAAGATGGAGAGAAGAAGCCCTCGAGGAGAGAGAGGAAGGTGGCAAAGAAGGCATCGCCAGTGAGTGGGTACACGCCGCCTCTTCCTTACCCCATGAGGATGTACAAGGAGAGGTTGGAGAACAAGTGTGGAGGTTTCATGGAAATGCTCCGAACCTGAACCTCAACCTCAATAACCCTTTCCTTGAAGCCATGGCTCAAATGCCAAAATATGCCAAGTATCTCAAAGGATTCCTCGCCAAGAAGCCAAAGCTTGAAGGCCTCGCCAACGTGACTCTTGGCGAGGAGTGTTCGGCTTAACTCCTCAACCGCTTGCCCAAGAAGCGGTCCGACCCATGTAGCTTTAGTATCCCTCTTGATATTGGTAACCATCATATAGACAATGCCTTGGCGGACTTAGGAGCTAGTGTTAATGTGATGCCCTACAAGCTTTTTCAAAAGTTAGAAGTAGGTGAACTTAAGACCACTAAGCTTAGCATCACCTTAGCTGACCATTCGGTCATTATCTCGAGAGGTATTGTGGAGGACATGTTGGTGCGAGTGGGCAAGTTCTGCTATCCGACTGATTTTGTGATTCTTGACATAAGTGAGGACTCGGATATGCCACTCATACTCGGTCGTCCCTTCCTTGCCACCGCCAAGGCATTGATAGACGTTAATGGGGAGACCTTAATTCTGAGGGATGGTAAGGAGAGAATCAAGCTTGAAATTGACCTTAAGGCTATGAGTGAGGAAGTGGTTTCAAATGGTGTGAATGTGAGTGGAGGAGAGCCTCTAAAGGAAACCCCCACTATTACTTGTGTTGATTTTGAGCAGGAAGTCAAGGAGGGTTCTAGCATGAAAATTGAAGCATAGGTGCAAGTTTCAAGTCAATTGGAGATCATTTGGCAATTCGGGAGAAGAAACACGAGCATGACCTGAGGAATAATGGACTTCTACCTCATATTATGGACAAATAATCATGGAATTTTGTTATGAAAAGAAAGAGGACATGGCTACGAGCATCTGGGATCAAACAGCGACTGATTCGGAGTCCGGACGAGGGAGAAACGAAGCATTAAACAGGGGCGCAGGAAGAATTACAGGCAGGAGAATTACGACCGTATTTCCCCCTCCCATG